TGATAATCATACGTGTTTCTTGCTATGATAATCTTACGTGTTTCTTGCTATGATAATCTTACTGTTTCTTGCTATGATAATCTTACGTGTTTCTTGCTATGATAATCATACGTGTTTCTTGCTATGATAATCTTACGTGTTTCTTGCTATGATAATCTTACGTGTTTCTTGCTATGATAATCTTACGTGTTTCTTGCTATGATAATCATACGTGTTTCTTGCTATGATAATCTTACGTGTTTCTTGCTATGATAATCTTACGTGTTTCTTGCTATGATAATCTTACGTGTTTCTTGCTATGATAATCATACGTGTTTCTTGCTATAATAATCTTACGTGTTTCTTGCTATGATAATCATACGTCTTTCTTGCTATGATAATCTTACGTGTTTCTTGTTATGATAATCTTACGTGTTTCTTGCTATGATAATCTTACGTGTTTCTTGCTATGATAATCTTACGTGTTTCTTGCTATGATAATCTTACGTATTTCTTGCTATGATAATCTTACGTGTTTCTTGCTATGATAATCTTACGTGTTTCTTGTTATAATAATCATACGTGTTTCTTGTTATAATAATCTTACGTGTTTCTTGCTATGATAATCTTACGTGTTTCTTGTTATAATAATCTTACGTGTTTCTTGCTATGATAATCTTACGTGTTTCTTGCTATGATAATCTTACGTGTTTCTTGTTATGATAATCTTACGTGTTTCTTGCTATGATAATCTTACGTGTTTCTTGCTATGATAATCTTACGTGTTTCTTGCTATGATAATCTTACGTGTTTCTTGCTATGATAATCTTACGTGTTTCTTGCTATGATAATCTTACGTGTTTCTTGTTATAATAATCATACGTGTTTCTTGTTATAATAATCTTAAGTGTTTCTTGCTATGATAATCTTACGTGTTTCTTGTTATAATAATCTTACGTGTTTCTTGCTATGATAATCTTACGTGTTTCTTGTTATAATAATATTAGGTGTTTCTTGCTATGATAATCTTACGTGTTTCTTGTTATAATAATCTTACGTGTTTCTTGCTATGATAATCTTACGTGTTTCTTGCTATGATAATCTTACGTGTTTCTTGTTATAATAATCATACGTGTTTCTTGTTATAATAATCTTACGTGTTTCTTGTTATAATAATCTTACGTGTTTCTTGTTATAATAATCTTACGTGTTTCTTGTTATAATAATCTTACGTGTTTCTTGTTATAATAATCATACGTGTTTCTTGCTATGATAATCTTACGTGTTTCTTGCTATGATAATCTTACGTGTTTCTTGTTATAATAATCATACGTGTTTCTTGTTATAATAATCATACGTGTTTCTTGCTATGATAATCTTACGTGTTTCTTGCTATGATAATCTTACGTGTTTCTTGTTATAATAATCATACGTGTTTCTTGTTATAATAATCTTACGCTGTGATAATAAAGCGTTGTTCATTATTATTATTATTATTATTATTATTATATATACTGGGAAGCGTTAAGACCGCAGTGGTCATACAACTTCCTGCGTTCGTTAATGTTTGTAATAAAATCTGATATATCAGTAGTGTGCTGCTACCTTATTCTATACAATGTTAAAAATGACTTTGTAAATGGTCCAACTCGGACCGAAATGCCGTCGTAAGCTCCTGTCTCCTACGTGCGGGTTATTTGTGTATTGCTCCAGTCACGGTATTGTGCCTCTTGCAGATGTGGACACACCTGCGTCGGCCCGTGGGCGCTGTGATCGGCATGGTGGGTCAGTTCGTAGTGTTGCCAGCCATGGGCTTCCTCTTCGCCGTACTCTTCAAGATGCGGCCCTACGAAGTCCTGGGCGTTCTGGTGATCTCCTGCAGCCCTGGGGGCTCCCTCTCCAACTTCATCACCTACTGGGCTGACGGAGACCTGGCACTCAGGTACAGTAGGAACATAGCTCGTGGAAACATAATAAGCAAGTAATAATGTTGGTGGAATGACCGAATATGTTAGATAAAAGGACACAAGTGGAGCTAATGCGACATTTTATTGTGGTAACGTTTCGCTCTCCAGGAGCTTTTGCAAGCTGTTACAAACAATATACGAACTCATATATATACCCCCTGTCCCTGCATTGTTTATAACGGCTTGACAAACTTCCTGGAGAGCGAAATAAATGCCACTGATGCCACAATAAAATGTCACATCAATCGCCCTTGTGACCTTTTACTTAACATAATAAATGAAGGAACGCTGCAGCAGACCCTCTGGCGGGTCCTTCTCAAATCCGGGAAGTAAGGAAAGCCAACGTATATTGTGACAAAACAGAAGAACGCTTAATTAATATCTTCCTTCATAAGTTTATTAACTGTCACGGTGTCTCGACTTTCATCAATCTGTGGAGATGCTTGCGTTACTAATATGGTTCAAGTCGGACCGAAACGTCGTCATAAAGTTTGTCTCTCCTATGTGCGGGCTATTTGTGCGTTGTTCCAGTCACGGTATTGTGTCTTTGTGTTCTTTATGGCCAAGTAGCGGGCTGATTTTAGTTCATCGCGTGGAGAAATACTTCCATCAAAATGATCTGCTATATTTTTTTATTTTTTATTTTGTCTTTGCAAACACTACATTGAGATTTTATATTTATAATAGCGGGTTGCAATGCAAAGAGAGCCTCTATTATGCCTAGGTATTGCACTAGCCTCGTATGTCCAGAACGGACACCATAATCTATGCTACGGTTGTAACAAGGTTTATAAATGGGTTTAGAAAGACACGTGAGCAAACACTTTAGCATATAATATATTTATTTCTACATGTACAAGGTATACAGACCATAGCTGACATCGATGACATACTTCTATATAGAAAGTCACTTGTTATGCTGAGCATTTCTAGCAAATTAGGTCAATTTTGTCCCGGGATGCGACCCACACCAGTCGACTAACACCCAGGTACCCATTTTTACTGATGGGTGAACATGGACAACAGGTGTAAGGAAACATACATAATGTGTTCTTATGTTTCAATCCTCGCCGGGAATCGAACCCGGACCCTCAGTGTGTGAAGCGAGAGCTATGCCACGCCTCGAAAAACATTTCGGTCCTAGGACCTTGACTACTTCAAACATACAGAGGTTAAAAGACACTATATATAGTCGGTAGTGAGGTATGAGTGACACATGGTGACCTTAGTATGTTAGAAGTAATCAAGGTGTCAGGACCTTAATGTTTTCAAATAAATGTTCTAATGTTTGCTCACGTGTCTTTCTAAACCAATTTGTCGGTATCTATTACCAAGGTTTATACCAAGCTTTATTAATTAAAGGTAAACAACAAGAATCTTGAGTAGACGTATCAACGAAAGCTAGAACAGGTAGACAGGTTGGCTCGCCAGGACGGGTCCTGACCCGGGTCTTCTCCATGTCAAGGACAGCAAATGCGCAGATTAAACTAACAATGGCAATACTGCAACACAGAAATTCAGAACACCATCTGGATAGATTTTTCATAGACGAAACTCGTAAAATGCAAAACGCAATGCTACTGAAACGTTCTCATTCAGTACAATCACACACAACCAAAACAGGTTCAAATGAGCAAAACCTTGATCAATACACATATTAAATCACGTAACTTGCAAAATCGTAATAATACAATTGCAGACAAATGACGTAAAATAAACAGACATAGACACAGTATAATGTGACCCTTTATTGAAGAAGAAAAAGGCACAACACCGTGACTGGAAGAATGTACAAATAACCCGTACATAGGAACGGCTTTCTATATATTATTATGCCATTGATGCCAGCTAGGCCTATATACCTTGTAGATGTACTTGTAGAAATATAGTTATTATTATTTTTTTTTCAACAAGTCGGCCGTCTCCCACCTAGGCAGGGTAGCCCCAAAAAGAAAATCCCCAAAACGAAAATACTTTCATCATTCAACACTTTCACCTCACTCATACATAATCACTGTTTTTGCAGAGGTGCCCAGATACAACAGCTTAGAAGCATATATAAAGATACAATATAAAAAGTGACCTGAAATAATATAACAACTCCCTATAGAATAGAATATCAGGGTCCCAATTATATATATATATATATATATATATATATATATATATATATATATATATATATATATATATATATATATATATATATATATATATATATATATATATATATATATACCGTCCTATTACATATCCCTCCAAACTGCCAATATTCCAAAACCCTCCTTTAGAGTGCTGGCATTGTACTTCCCATTTCCAGGACTCAAGTCCGGCTATATAAAAAATAACCGGTTTCCTTGAATCCCTTCACTAAATATTACCCTCCTCACACTCCAACAGCTCGTCAAATCCCAAAAACCATTCGTCTTCATTCACCCCTAACACGCTCACGCACGCTTGCTGGTAGTCCAAGCCCCTCGCCCACAAAACCTCCTTTACCCCCTCCCTCCAACCTTTTCGAGGACGACCTGCCTTCCTTCCCCTACAGATTTATATGCTCTCCATGTCATTTTACTTTGATCCATTCTCTCTAAATGACCAAACCACCTCAACAACCCCTCTTCAGCCCTCTGACGAATACCTTTATTAACTCCACAACTTCTCCTAATTTCCACACTCCGAATTTTCTGCATAATATTTACACCACACATTGCCCTTAGACAGGACATCTCCACTGCCTCCAACCGCCTCCTCGCTGCTGCATTTACAACCCAAGCTTCAAACCCATGTAAGAGTGTTGGTACTACTATACTTTCATACATTCCCTTCTTTGCCTCTACTGATAACGTTTTTTGTCTCCACATATACCTCAACGCACCACTCACATTCTTTCCCTCATCAATTCTATGGTTAACCTCATCCTTCATAAACCCATCCGCTGACAAGTCAACTCCCAAATATCTGAAAACATTCACTTCTTCCATACTCCTCTCCAATGTGATATCCAATATCTCCTTATCTAAATAATTTGATACCCTCATCACCTTACTCTTATCTATGATTATTATTATTATCTATTATCTATTATTATTATTATTGTTATCTATCAGACTTGAGAAAAGGCCTGCTGTGCAAGCACTGGGCTGGTGCTGCCATCTGTTGGCGGGCACAGGCCGACCTTCATTTCACCCCACATTAGCTCCGCTATTTACGAGTGACTCGGACATGGTTACAACAATGACACAAAAACGAGAACAATGTGAAAATGCGACAAAACAGAAGAAATTAAGCAAAAGAAAAGCAAATGATGCTGGACTAACTATATATATTTATGTAAGCCATTTCGCCAACAACATTGTTCCCCTCAGCATCGTAATGACGACCTGCTCGAGTATCATGGCCTTACTGGGGATGCCTGTCAACCTGTGGATGTACTCTCAGTATTGGCTGCATGAAGGCGAGGACAGCATCGTCGTGCCCTACGTAAAAATCATCACGTCCCTAGCCTTAATGACCATCCCCGTGGTGACGGGAATGGTCATCAGGCACTTTAAGAAGAGAGTCGCCAGCATCATCACCAAGGTGAGGGAGAGTATTTTGAAAGTAAAAGATATATTATTATCAATAATATGGACTAAGGTTTTGCAGATTAGAAATACGTGAAAAGGGGAAGTATACAAGTTGTCAAGGAGGTACAGTGGAACCTCGGCACTCGAACTTAATTAACTGGTTCCAGAAAGCTGTTCGAATGCCGATCTGTTCGAGTACAGGTTAGGTTAGGTAAGGTTCGTCAGGAAACAGGACAAATGTTTCCTGACGCGGGTCTTAGTCAGATGCTGACCCGCCTTTGGAGCTTTTGGTCATCTGACCGAGGCCTTCCGCTGGCTTACCGGTCCACCCCTTTAAAAATTATGGTCATTTATAACCTTCCAAAAATAAAAAGGAAGAAAAAAGTGATGTGTGTTCGAGTACAGAACGAATTTTTCCAACCAATTTTATTTTTGGTTGGCTGTTATCACTAACCCTCCTAGGCCCCATGGTGACTTATTTATACAAAAAATATAAAAAAAAATGCGAAGAAACACGAAATAGTTTACGGCGAAGTTCTGGCAGGTTGTGTTTGTGTGGTCGAGTGCCGAGCAAACGGTCGACTACCGAGCGATTTGTTTACTGAATTTACTGAACAAAGCGTTGGAATACCAAACTGTTCGAGTACTGAGGTTCCACTGTAAATGTAAATCACGACAGTGGTCTAAAACCCAGGTACTTATCTATTATTAGGTGAAGAGAGGCTGCAAATATAAGGAAGCTTATCAGTGCATCTTGCCCCACAGACAAACAATAATAATAATAATAATAATAATAACCTTTACTAGGTTAATTTTGTCCCTAGAATGCGACCCACGCCAGTCAGCTAACACCCAGGTACATACATGCTGCTAGATGAACAAGGACAGCAGGTGTCTTAAAGAAACACGACCAATGTTTTCCCCTGACCTCGAGTCCTTTAGATTGCGAGCTACAATTCACTAGTTATTAACTCTTGGCCTCTAAAACCTTCAAGAGTTATTTGTCAAGGATTGAGAGCTACCGCTTCCTTCCTCGATCACACCGTGTTGCCTCCCATCCATACAGCTCTAATGTTACTCCATGAATATAAACCTATCCATATAATAATAATAATAACAATAATAATAATAATACCGATAATAATAATAAGAAAAAATAATAATAAGAGCGATAATAATACTAGGATGTGAGGATATTGTGATATAAGGTGTTCCATTTCAGGTGGCGGGGTTGCTGGGCTGGTTGGGAATCATGGTGTGCAGTATTGTGGGTATGATGCTCTACGGGCGTCTCTTAATAACCGCTTCACCGCTTATCTACGTTGGTGCTGCCATCCTTCCCCTCGCCGGCTTCACTCTCTCATACGTCATCGCCAAACTTACCTGCAGGGTAAGTTCCAACGCTCATCTGCAGGGTAAGTTCCCACGATCACCTGCAGGGTAAGTTCCCACGCTCATCTGCAGGGTAAGTTCCCACGCTCATCTACAAGGTAAGTTCCCACGCTCATCTGCAGGGTAAGTTCCCACGATCACCTGCAGGGTAAGTTCCCACGCTCATCTGCAGGGTAAGTTCCCACGATCATCTGCAGGGTAAGTTCCCATGCTCATCTGCAGGGTAAGTTCCCACGCTCATCTGCAGGGTAAGTTCCCACGATCATCTGCAGGGTAAGTTCCTACGATCACCTGCAGGGTAAGTTCCCACGCTCATCTGCAGGGTAAGTTCCCATGCTCATCTGCAGGGTAAGTTCCCACACTCATCTGCAAGATAAGTTCCCACGCTCATCTGCAGGGTAAGTTCCCATGCTCATCCGCAGGGTAAGTTCCCACACTCATCTGCAGGGTAAGTTCCCATGCTCATCTGCAGGGTAAGTTCCCATGCTCATCTGCAGGGTAAGTTCCCACGCTCATCTGCAAGGTAAGTTCCCACGCTCATCTGCAAGGTAAGTTCCCACGCTCATCTGCAGGGTAAGTTCCACGCTCATCTGCAAGGTAAGTTCCCATGCTCATCTGCAGGGTAAGTTCCCACGCTCATCTGCAGGGTAAGTTCCACGCTCATCTGCAAGGTAAGTTCCCACGCTCATCTGCAGGGTAAGTTCCACGCTCATCTGCAAGGTAAGTTCCCATGCTCATCTGCAGGGTAAGTTCCCACGCTCATCTGCAGGGTAAGTTCCCATGCTCATCTGCAGGGTAAGTTCCCACGCTCATCTGCAAGGTAAGTTCCCACGCTCATCTGCAGGGTAAGTTCCCACGCTCATCTGCAGGGTAAGTTCCCACGCTCATCTGCAGGGTAAGTTCCCACGCTCATCTGCAGGGTAAGTTCCCACGCTCATCCGCAGGGTAAGTTCCCACACTCATCTGCAGGGTAAGTTCCCACGCTCATCTGCAGGGTAAGTTCCCACGCTCATCCGCAGGGTAAGTTCCCACGTTCATCTGCAAGGTAAGTTCCCACGCTCATCTGCAGGGTAAGTTCCCACGCTCATCTGCAGGGTAAGTTCCCACGCTCATCCCCAGGGTAAGTTCCCACACTCATCTGCAGGGTAAGTTCCCACGCTCATCTGCAGGGTAAGTTCCCACGCTCATCCGCAGGGTAAGTTCCCACGCTCATCTGCAAGGTAAGTTCCCACGCTCATCTGCAGGGTAAGTTCCCACGCTCATCTGCAGGGTAAGTTCCCACGCTCATCCGCAGGGTAAGTTCCCACACTCATCTGCAGGATAAGTTCCCATGCTCATCTGCAGGGTAAGTTCCCACTCTCATCTGCACGGTAGGTTCCCACGATCACCTCTGGTAACTGATACATTTCTTCAATGCATCAAGCACGTTTGAAAAATTCTATAGGAATTCACGACCCAGAGTTTACTGGAGCAGCAGCAGCAGGTGAGTGTAATCTCCCTGCAGATTCTTCAAGCAGACCAGCCTCTCCCAGAGATCACAAACAGTCCCACCGGGGGCAGGCCCAGTGTGGAAAAAATGACCCAGACGTTGCGCGACAATTCCTCATGTTGTGAGGGGCTGTCCTTAATTCCTCCTCGGGAACTCGCCTCGACCCTCAGGTTATTCGAATTGCTCACCGAACATTGGTGCATCTACGGTAGTGCATCAGCAGACCGTTTACGGCTCTCTGGTCTCATCTGTCATACATCAACAGGAAAGTTATGTTAGACACGATGAGGTCAACGATATCAAACGAAGCCTTGACACTGTCCGTTGCCCATCAGAGACTTTAACCATCCAGTTGATATATATATATATATATATATATATATATATATATATATATATATATATATATATATATATATATATATATATATATATAACAGTATATTTATTCCCACAACATCTGTGTCTTCTAAACCATTGTACAAATTTATACTACTGAATGTAAAAAAAAATGTTGAAGGATCAAACCTACAACACACATTTCGTTGAATGGCCCACATTGGTTTAGGACTTTAAATGAAATTAAAATGCCAAAAAAAAAGAAAACATCTGCAGATTTTCCTAAATAAATTGTTTGCTCTTACCTCAACAGAGTCACAAAGTGTGCTGCACCATTGGCATTGAGACTGGTTGTCAAAATTTAGGTATCGCCTATAGCATTGTCAGCATATCTTTCCCCGATCCCGTGGTGAGTATACACCACCCTCTCTGTCTTCCCTTAATAATGATAACAATTTTTATTTTTACAAGTATATGATACAACTTATACAGACCATAGCTGACATCAGTGGCATACTATATACAAAACCCGTTGTTATGCTGAGCATTTTGGGCAACTTAGGTTGCGACCCGCACCAGTCGGCTAACATCCAGGTACCTATTTACTGCTAGGTGAATAGGGACAGCAGGTGTCTTAAGGAAACATGCCCCAATGTTTCCAACCGTACCGGGGATCGAGCCATGGACCTCAATGTGTGAGGTGAGTGCGCTACCAACAGAGCTAGACTACAATGACTGACTAGACTACACTAGACTGGACTAGACTAGACTCACAAGGGGGTGAGCAGGAAGTGGGGATAAGAAAAGAAAAGATGAAGGCTTGGGTTTGGGAAGGATCTGCCTAGTATGGGCCAGTAGGTCTGCTTCAGTGTTCCTCCTTTCTTATGCAAGAAAATGAGCCGGAGTTAGACCCAGCAGCACAGGCCATGTGTGACATCACCTAAGACGATCTCCGAAATTCATGATAGGTCGGGCTCAGGAGAACAAGGTTGGCTGATGCTGTGGCCATCACAACGACAGTGGCCAAGGCCCTTTGCCATGCTGGACAGTGACACGTACATGGCTATGGTGGTGGTAAGCCAAGGATAGACAATGGTATAATACCAAGGTGGTGTTAGCAAAGGAAAAATGACGTCATTAAAGGTCCACACCTGCAAAGGACATGAAGAGAGGTACAGGGATAAGTGTAGAGAGGAACAAGAGCAGGATTGTAAAGAGCTGGGAAGAGATTTAGAGGACTGTGACGGCGCCTAATAGTGTCATCAAAGAAGTAGTCCAATAGTCGTGCTATATCTTAAATCTGTCAAGCTGTCTATCACTGAGCGTTTTCCAGAGGACGTTCGGTATGCTGGTATGCCAGTCTCGAGATGGAGTGGCTCGCTCGTCGCGAAATCCTGCCACGTCACCTCCAGCACCCAGCGCTAAGTTCGATTTTGGATTCGCTGTAGCATTATCTCGTTAGTCTTGGCAGTCGGTTAGAAAGAGTGGTGTGTATATGATGAAGGGCCTAATATAAGCAGTATTAAGGTGAAGTTCTGTAGAGGTATGTGGCCTTAGAGTTTGGACAGGCAAGTGAGAGCAGTATTTGCCATACCTCTGTTAACGGTGATATGTGTACTCACCTGTTCGTGGATGGAGGGGGCGATTCACAGCTCTTGGCCCCGCCAATGTGTGTTTGTGTGTGTGTGTGTGTGTGTGAGAGAGAGAGAGAGGAGAGAGAAGAGAGAGAGAGAGAGAGAGAGAGAGAGAGAGAGGAGAGAGAGAGAGAGAGAGAGAGAGAGAGAGAGAGAGAGAGAGAGAGAGCACTCGTAGCTTACAGTCAAGATAAACTCCAAGTTGTGTTTGAGAATGTGCATGGTAGAGGTGTTCGTAAATATAAGTTCGTCTATGGTGGAAATGTATTATTTTAGTCTTGTTAGCGTTTGTTTTGATGCATTCTTGCCAATATACACAACCCTCTCTGCCTCTCTTATCTTCTCTGACGCTATACTCACTAACTTATTGACGCAATGAACGTTTTACCACTTTAAGACATGTCCTGCCTACGTTAACCTTATATTAATATTATGTATACATAATCTCCACCAACACCACAACCAACATAACCTCCACCAACACCACAACCAGCATAACCTCCACCAACACCACAACCAACATAACCTCCACCAACACCACAACCAACATAACCTCCACCAACACCACAACCAACATAACCTCCACCAACACCACAACCAACATAACCTCCACCAACACCACAACAACATAACCCCCACCAACACCACAACCAACATAACCTCACCAACACCACAACCAACATAACCTCCACCAACACCACAACCAACATAACCTCCACCAACACCACAACCAACATAACCTCCACCAACACCACAACCAACATAACCTCCACCAACACCACAACCAGCATAACCTCCACCAACACCACAACCAACATAACCTCCACCAACACCACAACCAACATAACCTCCACCAACACCACAACCAGCATAACCTCCACCAACACCACAACCAACATAACCTCCACCAACACCACAACCAGCATAACCTCCACCAACACCACAACCAACATAACCTCCACCAACACCACAACCAACATAACCTCCCCCAACACCACAACCAGCATAACCTCCACCAACACCACAACCAACATAACCTCCACCAACACCACAACCAACATAACCTCCACCAACACCACAACCAGCATAACCTCCACCAACACCACAACCAACATAACCTCCACCAACACCACAACCAACATAACCTCCACCAACACCACAACCAACATAACCTCCACCAACACCACAACCAACATAACCTCCACCAACACCACAACCAACATAACCTCCACCAACACCACAACCAACATAACCTCCACCAACACCACAACCAACATAACTCCACCAACACCACAACCAACATAACCTCCACCAACACCACAACCAACATAACCTCCACCAACACCACAACCAGCATAACCTCCACCAACACCACAACCAACATAACCTCCACCAACACCACAACCAACATAACCTCCACCAACACCACAACCAGCATAACCTCCACCAACACCACAACCAACATAACCTCCACCAACACCACAACCAACATAACCTCCACCAACACCACAACCAACATAACCTCCACCAACACCACAACCAACATAACCTCCACCAACACCACAACCAACATAACCTCCACCAACACCACAACCAGCATAACCTCCACCAACACCACAACCAACATAACCTCCACCAACACCACAACCAACATAACCTCCACCAACACCACAACCAACATAACCTCCACCAACACCACAACCAACATAACCTCCACCAACACCACAACCAACATAACCTCCACCAACACCACAACCAGCATAACCTCCACCAACACCACAACCAACATAACCTCCACCAACACCACAACCAACATAACCTCCACCAACACCACAACCAACATAACCTCCACCAACACCACAACAACATAACCTCCACCAACACCACAACCAACATAACCTCCACCAACACCACAACCAGCATAACCTCCACCAACACCACAACCAACATAACCTCCACCAACACCACAACCAACATAACCTCCACCAACACCACAACCAACATAACCTCCAACAACACGACAACCAACATAACCTCCACCATCACCACAACCAACATAACCTCCACCAACACCACAACCAACATAACCTCCACCAACACCACAACCAACATAACCTCCACCAACACCACAACCAACATAACCCCCACCAACACCACAACCAACATAACCTCCACCAACACCACAACCAACATAACCTCCACCAACACCACAACCAACATAACCTCCACCAACACCACAACCATCATAACCTCCACCAACACCACAACCAACATAATCTCCACCAACACCACAACCAACATAATCTCCACCAACACCACAACCAACATAATCTCCACCAACACCACAACCAACATAATCTCCCAACCAACCACAACCAACATAACCTCCACCAACACCACAACCAACATAACCTCCACCAACACCACAACCAACATAACCTCCACCAACACCACAACCAACATAACCTCCACCAACACCACAACCAACATAACCTCCACCAACACCACAACCAACATAATCTCCACCAACACCACAACCAACATAATCTCCACCAACACCACAACCAACATAACCTCCACCAACACCACAACCAACATAACCTCCACCATCACCACAACCAACATAACCTCCACCATCACCACAACTATTATTACCAACACTACAACAATTAGCACTACCCCTCCTACTACCACCACTGCTCATATCCCCACAGACGCGAGGGCAGATCATCGTCTTCCCTGTGCTCTACTACTTCATCCTCTCTCTGGAGCTGTTGTTGGGCATATTTTTTCTCCATATATATAAGAAAAGATGTTCCTTCCAAGACCAGCCGCAGGTCGATGTCTCCATGACCTACACAGCCAAGACTGAGACGGGAACCGCAGAAGAAAGACAGCCTGCCATAGTCACTGATTAATACGAGAGAGAGAGAGAGAGAGAGAGAGAGAGAGAGAGAGAGAGAGAGAGAGAGAGAGAGAGAGAGAGAGAGAGAGAGAGAGAGAGAGAGACAGAGAGAGAGACAGAGTCTTATGACGATCGATTTGTTGTGATAAGTTTAGGTGAAACAGCTCGTCAGTGTGTCAACACCAATCATAATTCTATGAAATCCTTGCTTGAAACTATAGACAATAAGATAAGATAAGATTTCGCTTGGACTTTTAACCCCGGAGGGTTAGCCACCCAGGATAACCTAAGAAAGTCAGTGCATCATCGAGGGACTGTAACTTATTCCCACTGGGGTCCTCAATCTTGTCCCCCAGGATGCCACCCACACCAGTCGACTAACACCCAGGTATCTATGTATCTATTTGCTGCTAGGTGAACAGGACAACAGGTGTAAGGAAACGTGTCGAAATGTTTCCACACCGCCGGGAATCGAACTTGGGCCCTCCGCGTGTGAAGCGGGAGCTTTACCAGCCAGGCCACGGGGTAAGTAGCCCTGCTATTTAAGCCAAAATCGCAATGTAATAAAATGTACGTGTTAGTAAAAAAGAATGTAAAGATGGGGTGGTAGGGGAAGTAGAATATTTAAACGGCTTCAGGAAGAAATACAAATATTCTTCCTTGAAGCCTTTTTATCCACTTCTCCGAGGCTGTGGCTTCCAAAATTTACACCAGATGGTGACACTTACATGACGGAGTTTTCCAACTTCAGATAATGATGGAGTTTTCCAACTTCAGATAATGATGGAGTTTTCCAACTTCAGATAATGATGGAGTTTTCCAACTTCAGATAATGATGGAGTTTTCCAACTTCAGATAATGATGGAGTTTTCTTACCACTTTACTGTATCATTAATTTTATTAGTAATAAACTTTGTAGACTACAAAGTTATTTTTTCAATTCCCTTATTATAAATCTAATATATTCTTGACACGTATGTAAATACTAATACTACTACTACTACTACTACTAATAATAATAATAATAATAATAAATAATAATAATAATAATAATAATAATAATAAGAAGAAGAAGAAGAAGAAGAAGAAGAAGAAGAAGAATGATAAAATAATAATAATAATAATAATAATAATAATAAGAAGAAGAAGAAGAAGAAGAAGGATAAGAAGAAGAAGAACAAGAAGAACAAGAAGAAGAACAAGAAGAAGAACAAGAAGAAGAACAAGAAGAACAAGAGCAAGAATTAAAGGTTTACATTTGCGCACTATGATAAGAGTTCGCTGATGTTTCTTCCAAGTGCTGATGTAACGACGTACATGTTGCTACATTATAATTTAAGGGAAGCTCTAAGCCCATAAGGGTCATACAGCGCCTGGGGGAGAGGAGACAATCAGATTCACTCCAAGGGGAGGAGAGGTTCAATTTCTCGCATCAAGAGTCCCCTGAGTGGCATCAAGGAACGTTCCTTGAGGGAACGTTCCTACTACCAGTCATGGAACATGGTTGATCAACTCTCACCACGTCGCACCTTAACTATTGGTCATTAAAGATTATAATTATCATTATTGCGTGGTATACCGAACTCCCATATCAACCTTGACACTTGATTAATAAAAGTAATCACCAGCAATACACATATAACCAACACATAAGAGAGAGAAGCTAACGACGACGTTTCGGCCCGACTTGGACTATTTAGAAAGTCATACTATGTTTTATTATTATTTTTTTTTATTATCACACTGGCCGATTCCCACCAAGGCAGGGTGGCCCGAAAAAGAAAAACTTTCACCATCATTCACTCCATCACTGTCTTGCCAGAAGGGTGCTTTACACTACAGTTTTTAAACTGCAACATTAACACCCCTCCTTCAGAGTGCAGGCACTGTACTTCCCATCTCCAGGACTCAAGTCCGGCCTGCCGGTTTCCCTGAACCCCTTCATAAATGTTACTTTGCTCACACTCCAACAGCACGTCAAGTATTAAAAACCATTTGTCTCCATTCACTCCTATCAAACACGCTCACGCATGCCTGCTGGAAGTCCAAGCCCCTCGCACACAAAACCTCCTTTACCCCCTCCCTCCAACCTTTCCTAGGCCGACCCCTACCCCGCCTTCCTTCCACTACAGACTGATACACTCTTGAAGTTATTCTGTTTCGCTCCATTCTCTCTACATGTCCGAACCACCTCAACAACCCTTCCTCAGCCCTCTGGACAACAGTTTTGGTAATCCCGCACCTCCTCCCAACTTCCAAACTACGAATTCTCTGCATTATATTCACACCACACATTGCCCTCAGACATGACATCTCCACTGCCTCCAGCCTTCTTCTCGCAGCAACATTCATCACCCATGCTTCACACCCATATAAGAGCGTTGGTAAAACTATACTCTCATACATTCCCCTCTTTGCCTCCAAGGACAAAATTCTTTGTCTCCACAGACTCCTAAGTGCACCGCTCACCCTTTTCCCCTAATCAATTCAATGATTCACCTCATCTTTCATAGACCCATCCGCTGACACGTCCACTCCCAAATATCTGAATACATTCACCTTCTCCATACTCTCTCCCTCCAATCTGATATCCAATCTTTCATCACCTAATCTTTTTGTTATCCTCATAACCTTACTCTTTCCTGTATTCACTTTTAATTTTCTTCTTTTGCACACCTTACCAAATTCATCCACCAATCTCTGCAACTTGTCTTCAGAATCCCCCAAGAGCACAGTGTCATCAGCAAAGAGCAACTGTGACAACTCCCACTTTATGTGTGATTCTTTATCTTTTAACTCCACGCCTCTTGCCAAGACCCTCGCATTTACTTCTCTTACAACCCCATCTATAAATATATTAAACAACCACGGTGACATCACACATCCTTGTCTAAGGCCTACTTTTACTGGGAAATAATTTCCCTCTTTCCTACATACTCTAACTTGAGCCTCACTATCCTCGTAAAAACTCTTCACTGCTTTCAGTAACCTACCTCCTACACCATACACCTGCAACATCTGCCACATTGCCCCCTATCCACCCTGTCATACGCCTTTTCCAAATCCATAAATGCCACAAAGACCTCTTTAGCCTTATCTAAATACTGTTCACTTATATGTTTCACTGTAAACACCTGGTCCACACACCCCCTACCTTTCCTAAAGCCTCATTGTTCATCTGCTATCCTATTCTCCGTCTTACTCTTAATTCTTTCAATAATAACTCTACCATACACTTTACCAGGTATACTCAACAGACTTATCCCCCTATAATTTTTGCACTCTCTTCTGTCCCCTTTGCCTTTATACAAAGGAACTATGCATGCTCTCTACCAATCCCTAGGTACCTTACCCTCTTCCATACATTTATTAAATAATTGCACCAACCACTCCAAAACTATATCCCCACCTGCTTTTAACATTTCTATCTTTATCCCATCAATCCCGGCTGCCTTACCCCCTTTCATTTTACCTACTGCCTCACGAACTTCCCCCACACTCACAACTGGCTCTTCCTCACTCCTACAAGATGTTATTCCTCCTTGCCCTATACACGAAATCACAGCTTCCCTATCTTCATCAACATTTAACAATTCCTCAAAATATTCCCTCCATCTTCCCAATACCTCTAACTCTCCATTTAATAACTCTCCTCTCCTATTTTTAACTGACAAATCCATTTGTTCTCTAGGCTTCCTTAACTTGTTAATCTCACTCCAAAACTTTTTCTTATTTTCAACAAAATTTGTTGATAACATCTCACCCACTCTCTCATTTCCTCTCTTTTTACATTGCTTCATCACTCTCTTAACCTCTCTCTTTTTCTCCATATACTCTTCCCTCCTTGCATCACTTCTACTTTGTAAAAACTTCTCATATGCTAACTTTTTCTCCCTTACTACTCTCTTTACATCATCATTCCACCAATCGCTCCTCTTCCCTCCCGCACCCACTTTCCTGTAACCACAAACTTCTGCTGAACACTCTAACATTACATTTTTAAACCTACCCCATACCTCTTCGACCCCATTACCTATGCTCTCATTAGCCCATCTATCCTCCAATAGCTGTTTATATCTTACCCTAACTGCCTCCTCTTTTAGTTTATAAACATTCACCTCTCTCTTCCCTGATGCTTCTATTCTCCTTGTATCCCATCTACCTTTTACTCTCAGTGTAGCTACAACTAGAAAGTGATCTGATATATCTGTGGCCCCTCTATAAACATGTACATCCTGAAGTCTACTCAACAGTCTTTTATCTACCAATACATAATTGAACAAACTACTGTCATTTCGCCCTACATCATATCTTGTATACTTATTTATCGTCTTTTTCTTAAAATATGTATTACCTATAACTGAACCCCTTTCTATACAAAGTTCAATCAAAGGGCTCCCATTATCATTTACACCTGGCACCCCAAACTTACCTACCACACCCTCTCTAAAAGTTTCTCCTACTTTAGCATTCAGGTCTCCTACCACAATTACTCTCTCACTTGGTTCAAAGGCTCCTATACATTCACTTAACATCTCCCAAAATCTCTCTCTCTCCTCTGCATTCCTCTCTTCTCCAGGTGCATACACGCTTATTATGACCCACTTTTCGCAGTCAACCTTTACTTTAATCCACATAATTCTTGAATTTACACATTCATATTCTCTTTTCTCCTTCCATAACTGATCTTTCAACATTACTGCTACCCCTTCCTTTGCTCTAACTCTCTCAGATACTCCAGATTTAATCTCATTTATTTCCCCCCACCGAAACTCCCTTCAGCTTTGTTTCGCTTAGGGCCAGGACATCCAACTTCTTTTCATTCATAACATCAGCAATCATCTGTTTCTTATCATCCGCACTACATCCACGCACATTCAAGCATCCCAGTTTTATAAAGTTTTTCTTCTTCTCTTTTTTAGTAAATGTCTACAGGAGAAGGGGTTACTAGCCCATTGCTCCCGGCATTTTAGTCGCCTCATACGACACGCATGGCTTACGGAGGAAAGATTCTTTTCCACTTCCCCATGAACAATAGAAGAAGTAAAGAAGAACAAGAGCTATTTAGAAAAAGGAGAAAAACCTAGATGTATGTATATATATATACGCATGTGCGTGTCTGTGAAGTGTGACCAAAGTGTAAGTTGGAGTAGCAAGATATCCCTGTTATCTAGCGTGTTTATGAGACAGAAAAAGAAACCAGCAATCCTATCATCATGCAAAACAGTTACAGGTTTCTGTTTCACAGTCATCTGGCAGGACGGTAGTACTTCCCTGGGTGGTTGCTGTCTACCTACCTTCTACTATGTGACTTTGTAAATGGTCCAAGTCGGACCGAAACGTCGTGGTAAGCTCCTTTTTTCCTATGTGCGGGTTATTTATGTATTGTTCCAGTCACGGTATTGTGCATTTGTTCTTGATCAACGGTAGATTGGTCAAATATCTGCCCCTGATCAGCGGACGGAGGTACGAGCCTCCAAGATCTAAATGACCCCTATCATTAGGCACTTTCACTCTAAATCAGTGTTTTTTTTTCTACCCAAAATATGTTAATTTGAGTGATAACAATTAAAATTTCTCGGAAAAACCTAAAAAAAAAAAAAAAAAAAAAAAAAAAAAAGAGGGTTGAGAACTCTGTAAATGTAAGACCGGAGAAAAGTCGTAATTTTTTTTTTTTTTTAGATTCATGGGCAGCCATTGACTGTGGGTTGGTTGATGCTTATGAAGGACTCCTGATCCAAGGAACTAGAGTTACCCTACCCATCCTCAAATCAAACTTGATACCTCTCCTCCAGGCGCTGTAATGACCGTTGTGCGTTCCGTACTTTTCCTTGTCTTCAATAATAATCTCAAATTAATGTGCAAACATATACAATAATTTACAAGTCCACTGTCTACACAATAATTCGGGGGATAATATATATATATATATATATATATATATATATATATATATATATATATATATATATATATATATATATATATATATATATATATATATAAATAGGTTAACATTTACAGGATGTTATCTCACAAATAAAGAAAATATTTTTTATTTCAAAATTACGAATGTAGATACAAGGTGTATAAGATAAGATATGGATGTTCAGACCAGATGAGGCTTCTCTTACTCTTAAATTACACAATAGTGTGAGGCACACTGTAACAAATTCAGCGTAATAACCGTGCAACTAGTAACATGGTGAAGCTTGTGAATTTGATCTAGAAGTGTTTAACTCACAGTTAGTGTCGGAGGAGAGTGTCCATTACGCTCACAAGCTTAGCGTAATAACAATGAATCAAGTAATATGGTGAACTTGTTAGTGGTGAGACACTCTAGAAGGCTGACCAGATAACTCTGATAGGTAGGTATTAGGTTTGTCAGGGAACAAGACAAGTGCTTGTTGACGCGGGTCTTAGTCATATGATGACCCACAGCTGGAGCTTTTGGTCATATGACCGAGGCTTTCTGCTGGCTTACCGGTCCACCCCTTTAAAAATTATGATTATGATTATAACCATTTTTATGTTGCTATAATTACAGTGAAACAAGCAACATGGTGAACTTGTCAGTGGCGAGACACTAGAAGTCTGACCTAATAACAGTGTCAAATAACATGATAACGTTGTGTGGTGACCTAGATACGTTAGCTCACAGTTAGTATGAGAAAATTTGCAGGGTGAGGAGCCATGAGGAGTGTAGCTATGGAATACTGGAAGACGGGAGGAAGTGTGCAAGTGTAGGTAACTTATAAGACACCAGGAACACCATCGTCAACTTCCAGCAAGGTGAGAGAGAGAGAAATAATCACCTATTTGTGGTTGTAGGGATTGATTTTCAGCTCCTGGCCCTGCCTCTTAAATTGTCACTCCTCAAATTCACTCCCGCTTTACAGCGCTTTGCTTTAAAGTGTTTCGCTAATGCAGCGGTTTTCAATTATATCCATTCTTTATTTATTCAGATTTCCTCTAATAAAGATATTTACTACTTACTATAAGCTAAGGACGAAAATATTTTAAGGTAAGTAATGTGTGTACTGTACATGTATTCTTTAGGCTCATTTAATAAATGATTGTGTAAACATGTTATCAGGCTTTTATATGCATTTCAAAGTGAAAAAGTGAGAGAGAATGTTTCACTTTACAGCGGTAGCCCAGAACCTTACGTGCTGTATAAGCGGGGCCTTCCTGTATGTGAAGTTTGTATTTCCAGGGTTTTGTTGAACATTGTATAGTAAATAGTAGGTTACAGCACACGAGCATCTTTCTTATATATGAATGGTGATATAAAGGCCTTGTTTACTAAAGAATTAGCGGAGGGATGGGTGTAGAGTTTAGGTAAGTACCAGCGAGGAACGCTCTAACTTGTATATAGGGGTCTATAATTTTGTTGGCTTGTTTTGATTCTAAAATCGAGAAGTTATTTAGTTACTCTGGTCTTAGCGAATTTACTTGAACCTAGTATTTGATGTAAGAAAATCATCCCAAGTGATGGAATTTGACAGCGAAACAGTTTTAGTTGCCACTATGTAACTATAATTGAATAGGGTAGCCGTACACTGCTAGTGTTCCCACTATGTAGCTATCAAAGAGTAGGGTATTTTATTTACTACTACGTAACTATCATAAAGAGTAGATCAGCCGCACACTGCTAGTGTTCCCACTACGTAACTATCATAGACTAGAGCAGCAGGCCAATATGGATATTCCCCCAATATAACTACCATTGAGAATAATATAGCAGCACACTGCTAGTGTTCCCACTATGTAACTATTGTAGAGTAAGGTATTTTAGTTCCTACCACGTAACTATCATAAAGAGCAGAGCAGCCGCACAGTGTAGTGTTCCCACTACGTAACTACCATGAAGTAGGGTAGCAGGCCAACACGAGTATTGCCACAATGTAACCATCATACAGAATAGGGTAGCAGCACACTGGTGATGTGCCCAAATTTTTAATTTAAAAAAAGACATCCAGGAGGCGGAACGTCACAACAGAGAGCGTCTTATTCTGACAGATTACCCAGGAGAGACCAGACACCGGGAAGCAACACAGCGGGGGAATTAACTTCAAAGATGTGGCGTCTCAGGAACACTGGACGACGATGATGACAGGAATAACAAACATAACAGAGACAGAACCGCCAGAGTGGCTTTCAACACTGGATTATGTTGTCACTCTGGTTATGACGAGTAACGTCATCACGATCATGCTGGCCATGGGGGCCGCATCTTACTGGAAGGAGGTCAGTCACCAACATATCTTGATAGTACGTAATAATAAAAATCTTTGTTTCTAGAAGTACATGTACAAAGTTTACAGACCATTGCTGACATCAATGACATACTACTATATAGAAAGCCGCTTGTTATGCTGAGCATTTCGGGCAAATTAGGTCAGTTTTGTCCCAGGATGCAACCCATACCAGTCGACTAACACCCAGGTACCTATTTTACTTCAAGGTGAACAGGAACAGCAGATATCTTAAGGAAACGCGTCCTAATGTTTCCACCCATACCGGGGATCGAACCACGAACCTCAATTTATGAGCTGAGTGCGCTAGCAATCGAGCAAACCACGGAACGGGTGGGGATTAAACCCATGGCAACTGAACTCTAAAACTCCAGGCCAGCTGGCTACAATAAGATTAATCCAAGTAGCTATATTTCTATAGTAAGTTAGCATGGGCCTCCCACTGTGACCACAAATCCAAGATGAATCTCACACCGGGTCGAGTGCCTTACGCACTGGCCTGGAGTTTTAGGATTCATTTGCCACGGGTTCAGTCCCCACCCGTACCGTTATATTTCCCGGTACACCAGTTGTACTGGTGGAGCTGGACGGCGCACCGCTGAGGTAAGACGCACTAATACAAGACGCCAAAAATAAGACACTAATAACATGCAAACCAACAAAGGACGGTAATAAGACACAAAACGCCAGTAACATGCAAGCCAATAAAAGCCATCAACAAAAGTCATAGTAACAAAATACCAATAACATGCAAACCAATAGGACAGATAAGATATATTAATAAATGATAAAAAAAATAATAAAAATACACCAATAAAATATACATTAATAAAAGATACATAAATAAAAGACAATTAAACATAACACACACATTAAACTGATAAAGTTACGTAATATATTTACACTGCTACCGTCTTCTAGGCTATTTTGTGCACCCAATACCTTTCAAAGTAAGATGGATATCTCTCACATTAGGATGAATAGCTTTCAAAATAGGGTGGATAGCTTTCAAAACATGGATAGCTTTCAAAATATGGATAGCTTTCAAAATATGGATAGCTTTCAAAATATGGATAGCTTTCAAAATAAGATGGGTAGCTTTCAAACCAGGATAGGCTGCTTTCAAAATACGTTGGGTAACTTTTAAAAAGGCTGGGTAGCTTAAAAATAGTTTAGTTTAAAAAAATGGTTAACGGTGTTACAAAGAGACTGGTGAAGTTTACAAATAAACCTTTTAAAAAGAATTGGGTTTGAGAAAGACCTGCTGAGCATGGGCCATTATACCTACTACGATGCTCCTCTATTCTTGAGTTCTTTTCTAACAACTGTTGCCAGATGTGGCACCACATGAAGCATCCCTGGCAGTGCCTGCTTGGGATACTGTGTCAGTTTGGCATCTTACCAGCCGTGGGCTTCGCAATGAGCCTAGCCTTCCGGCTTCAACCTTACCAAGTCTTGGGTGTTATCATCGTCACCTCCAGCCCTGGAGGTGCATTCTCAAGCTTCTTCGCCTACTGGGTTGATGGAGACCTAGCTCTCAGGTAATTACTATTATTATTGAATTCATGCGGAAGCATAGGAGGAAATCAAGGTACCTCTCCATTGAAGGGTTATAAGAAAGATATCATAATATATATATATATATATATATATATATATATATATATATATATATATATATATATATAATATATATATATATATATATATATATATATATATATTATATATATATATATATATATATATATATATATATATATATATATATATATATATATATATATATATATATATATATATATATATATATATATATATTAAAACTTTCATTCAACACCTTCATCATCACTCATACATAATCGCTGTTTTTTTGCAGAGGCGCTCAGATGCGACAGTTTAGATGTCCCTCCCAACTGCCAATATCCTAAACCCCTCCTTTAAAGTGCAGGCATTGTACTTCCCATTTCCAGGACTCAAGTCCGGCTGGAGTTTACCTGGAGTTTACCTGGAGAGAGTTCCGGGGGTCAACGCCCCCGCGGCCCGGTCTGTGACCAGGCCTCCTTTCCCAGTTTCCCTGAATCCCTTCACAAAATATTACCCTGCTCACACTCCAACAACTCGTCAGGTCCCAAAAACCATTCGTCTCCATTCACTCCTATCTAACACGCTCACACACGCTTGCTGGAAGTTCAAGCCCCTCGCCCACAAAATCTCCTTTACCCCCTCTTCAAACATTTTCGGGGACGACCCCTACCCCGCCTTCCTTCCCCTACACATTTATACGCTCTCCAAATCATTCTTTGTTCCATTCTCTCTAAATGACCAAACCACCTCAACAACCCCTCTTCAGCCCTCTGACTAATACTTTTAGTAACTCCACAACTTCTCCTAATTTCCACACTACGAATTCTCTGCATAATATTTACACCACACATTGCCCTTAGAGAGGACATCTCCACTGCCTCCAGCCGCCGCCTCGCTGCAGCATTTACAACCCATACTGCACACCCATATAAGAGTGTTGGTATCATTATACTCTCGTTCATTCCCTTCTTTGCCTACATGGATAAAGTTCTTTGTCTCCACAAATACCTCAAAACACCACTCACCTTTTTTTCCTTTATCAATTCTACGGTTAACCTCATCCTTCAAAAACCCATCTGCTGACAAGTCAACTCCCAAATATCTGAAAACATTCACTTCTTCCATATTCCCTCCCTCCAATGTGATATCAAATTTCTCTTTATCTAAATCGTTTGATACTCTCATCATCTTATTCTTATCTATGTTCGCTTTCAACTTTCTAACTTTACACACCCTCCCAAACTCGTCCACTAACCTTTGCAACTTTATTCTTTAGAATCCCCCAAAAGCACAGTATCACCAGCAAAAAGTAACTGTGTCAACTCCCATTTTGTGTGTATATATATATATATATATATATATATATATATATATATATATATATATATATATATATATATATATATATTTTTTTTTTTTTTTTTCAACAAGTCGGCCGTCTCCCACCGAGGCAGGGTGACCCAAAAAAGAAAGAAAATCCCCAAAAAGAAAAATACTTTCATCATCATTCAACACTTATATATATATTATATTATATATATATATATATATATATATATATATATATATATATATATATATATATATATATATATATATATATATATATAGAGAGAGAGAGAGAGAGAGAGAGAGAGAGAGAAGAATCACAGTAGAAATTGAAACTGAAATACATGAACGCTTTCGTTTACTTCCACATACATCGGAAGAATCAATAAATGTCTATTTTTTAGTGAAGTGAAACTACCAGGTGTGAGTATAATAATAATAAAAAAAATGTAGGCGCACTACAGCAGACCCACTGACCCACTCTAGGCAGACCTTTCTCACACCCAAACCAATTCAGTCCAACCATATATAGTACAACAAGTACACTAACATTGCTATTAATAACTTTGTAACAATCAACTAACAGCTCTCTCCTCAAACCTATTATGGGTATGTTACAGCCCTTTATAACATGTTCCTTCTCTTACTTGTATATTCTGCTGAAGAGGACCACAGCTGGAGGACGAGATATACAGACAACTTACTATTTTTGTTTCTGTCTCCGGATGGATACTGACCTCTCACTACCAAGTTGTTCTTTAATATTTGATGCAACAATGAATTATATATTTGCAATAGCAGAACTTCTGGAGAAATTTGTATAAGAGAATGAATTATTTTGGTGTTGCAGCATCACAATAGCGACACTGTCGCCCTTGCTGGCATTAGCAGTGATGCCTTTCAACCTGTGGGCATACTCCAAGCGTTGGCCGGACCAGGAGCTGCAGCTGCCATACTTTAACATAGTGTTGAGCCTCGTCTTCGTCATCGTCCCCGTCGTGGTGGGCATGTTCGTCAGGCAGTACATACGCAAGTGGGCCCTCTGTATCTCGAAGGTTCGTAGATCGAGACAAAGAAGTTACTCGCAGTACGCGGCTACTCTATAATAACCACAACACAGAAATATCTACAGTATACGGCTGCGATATTGTATAAGAGAACACCCGCAATGTGTGACTGTTATTCAGTCACACATTGCAATGTGCGGCTATTCTATTTAATAAAATACGTAGTTATATGGCGACAACAACAACAATGTGAGGCTACTATATTCTACATGATAGTTACACTGTAGGAACCCCGCAGTGTGAGGCTACTATATTCTACATGATACATTGTAGGAACACCCGTAGTGTGAGGCTACTCTGTTCTACATGATAGTTACACTGTATGAACACCCGCAGTGTGAGGCAACTATATTCTACATGATACACTGTAGGAACACCCGCAGTGTGAGGCTACTATATTCTACATGATAGTTACACTGTAGGAACACCCGCAGTGTGAGGCGGGTGTTTCTACAATCATAGCTACATGATAATTACCGAATTTCGCTGATTATAAGACGCGGCATATAAGACTTGCTTTAATCTCAATGACTCGGCATCGGACGTAACTGGGAGAGCTACAGCCCACCCCACACCCCAAACTTATAACTCCCGTCACTGACCTTCAGTTTATAGGACGCAGGCTGGTTTTTGGAGAACTGGAAAAACTACATGCGTCTAATACGCCGCGAAATATGGTACATTGTAGGAACACCCGCAGTGTGACACTACTGTGTTCTGTATGACAGGTACATTACAGGAACACGGAAGTGAGGCTACCCTGTTCTATAAGATGGTTATGGTGTTGAAATACCAGTAATGTGTCGCTACTGTTGTATGTTAGTTAAATGGACAAATGTGCAAGACATTTACTGCAGATATGTCTCGCAGAAGTCTTGGTGAGTGAAACGTAGCCGCAATAAAGGTCTTATTGGCTGCACATATGTCCATATACCTAAAATATTGTCGGCACTCCTACCAATAATATTCATATTGTATACAATAATTACAATTGTTACATCTAACACCTGGGTATTAGGGGGGGGGTACATCACAGACAGTGCTAGGCAGAAAAAATGGTTATAATTATGACTACAATTTTTAAAAGGGGTGGATAGGTAAGCCAGCGGAAGGCCTAGGTCAGATGACCAAGAGCTCCAGCTGCGGGTCATCATGTGAGTAAGACCCGCGTCAGGAAACACTTGTCCTGTTTCCTGACAAACCTAACCTAACTAAACCTTTGAATGAACTGAGGTGGAATAACAGCTCTTAAGACTAGTCAAAGATGACATAAAATAGCATGTAAATAAGATACAAATCCAGCACTAGGATATATATTATGAAAAGTTTCGCTCGGTGAGTTGTCAATACAAGTGAGCAAAACGTTTCTATAATGAATGCCCTATTGCAGTACTTGGGTGTCTCATTTACCATTTCTTAGCCGTAAAAAAAAATGGAGTATTAAACAAAGGTATGAAACACAGTATTGCCATAACGCTGGTATAAGAGGCACTAATAAAACGTTGACACCCTTAGGAAACGTTAGCAATACACAAATAACCCGCACATAGGAGAGGAAAGCTTATGACGACGTTTCGGTCCGAGAAACCGTTAGCAACTGTTGTAAACTGATACCTTTATGTAATGGCTAATGACACGTGTCAAATGGTAACTATTATTTGTATTAAATAGTTAGGGAAGCACTAAACGCACAGGGTTCCGGCAGCGCGGGAGAAAAGGGAGGTGATCAAATTTAATACCCCAGGGGAAAAAAAAAGATCCCTGTACCTGCATAGGTGACGCAGTGCCTTCGATTATTCAACTAATAACCCCTTATGTGCACAGGTGTGTGGGGTGCTGGGATGGGCAGGAGCAGTCACCTGCGGAGTGATGCTCATCCTCAGATACTACAATTCTCTCGCTACCTCCTCTTCCAGTGTTGTCTTCACCACTTCTCTCGTCCCTTTCGTCAGTGTCCTCGTCGCCTACCTTCTCGCTAAGATGGTCTGCTTCGTAAGTTGCAAAAATCAGTCAATGTATATAGTAAATTTTATTTAGTACTGCCAGATAACCACGATACTGAGCGTAAAAATCTTCCTCTATGCTCCATTCTCCATGTCCTCTTAAGTACATAATGTATGTTGCATAATACTATGGTGTTTAAAAACCACACATTAATATTCTTAAGTACATGATGTGTGTAGTCGTGGTGTCGGCAAGCTACACACTAACATTTTCTCTGCTACCCTAGAGTCACAGAACCTGTCGTACTGTTGCCACAGAGACGGCGTGTCAGAACATGGTCGTCGCCACCAACATCATGCTACTGTCTTTTCAAGATCCCCAGGTGAAGCTAGTCTTCATATACCATATACTATTCTGGCGTAGCGCTTTTTATATAATCATTCATACAACAATGTATTTATTATTATCATCATCATCGTTTTAGTTGGCTGGTTAACGAGGTTTAAATGCCTATCGACTACTTAAAGCTCCTTACAATTAAAACCACGATCTATGCATTACCATGTCACGTGCGTGGAGCAGATGCGCAGTCAGTTGGTGATCATCTCCGTGATGTACGGCGTGTGGCAGGTGGTGGAGGTGGCGGTGGCTGTAGCAGTGTTCCAGCTGTGGGTGTTTCTTTACCGACACGACATCACCAAGGAGATTAATTCGGCTCAAGACTCCTCGGTCCTCATCAGCGTGCCAGTCCCGGCCCATAGGCTGACCCAGGTAAATAACACTTACAGGCGAATGTTAGCCTTCTCAATCGACTTATAAGGCACGTCGAAGCCTCCGACGTAAGCAGGAGCCCACTTAAATAAGTCCCAACCCCCCGACGCAGGAATCCTTCCAAGAGCATCCCAAGTACATTGCGGTTCTTCTAAAAGCATCTCATTCTTTCTAAAGACGTCCCACTCCTTTCAAGAACGTCTGAATTCTTCCAAGAATATTACATTCCTTCTGAGAGCGTCCCAAAATTGCTAGGTATATCGTAGCTCTTCCAATGGTAAACTCGAGGTATAACATTAATATCGGCCTAAATTAATGTTCTATAATATCAAAGATAAAAAGTTCCAGAGAATAATACATAGAGGAAGACAACACTGTATGGTTTCAGGTAAGACTCGAGAGCCTGACGGGGAATGTAGCAACACCAGACCAGTGTAGGACGCACCGCCAAGACCAAAACTACATGCTTGATCAGCGTAGAGCACAAAGCCAATGTGGTATTAAAGTCCAACACAGTCCACAAGACCACTGCGGACCACCCTGCCACTACTGCGCACTAGAACACTGCAGTTCAAAAGTCCAGTGGGATCCACAAGACCACTTTAGTGGACAAGACAACTGTGATTCACAGGACCACTTTGGCCCGCACAGGTATTTAAGACTTTCACGTTGTTTTTCTGTAAAAACTTATATGATTTGTTGATTTTGTGTTCGCTATACAACATTCTAGATTATTTGTCTATTAAATTCAAACATAATTATATATATATATATATATATATATATATATATATATATATATATATATATATTATTATCACACTGGCCGATTCCCACCAAGGCAGGGTGGCCCGAAAAAGAAAAACTTTCACCATAATTCACTCCATCACTGTCTTGCCAGAAGGGTGCTTTACACTACAGTTTTTAAACTGCAACATTAACACCCCTCCTTCAGAGTGCAGGCACTGTACTTCCCATCTCCAGGACTCAAGTCCGGCCTGCCGGTTTCCCTGAACCCCTTCATAAATGTTACTTTGCTCACACTCCAACAGCACGTCAAGTATTAAAAACCATTTGTCTCCATTCACTCCTATCAAACACGCTCACGCATGCCTGCTGGAAGTCCACGCCCCTCGCACACAAAACCTCCTTTACCCCCTCTCTCCAACCTTTCCTAGGCCGACCCCTACCCCGCCTTCCTTCCACTACAGACTGATACACTCTTGAAGTCATTCTGTTTCGCTCCATTCTCTCTACATGTCCGAACCACCTCAACAACCCTTCCTCAGCCCTCTGGACAACAGTTTTGGTAATCCCGCACCTCCTCCTAACTTCCAAACTACGAATTCTCTGCATTATATTCACATCACACATTGCCCTCAGACATGACATCTCCACTGCCTCCAGCCTTCTCCTCGCTGCAACATTCATCACCCATGCTTCACACCCATATAAGAGCGTTGGTAAAACTATACTCTCATACATTCCCCTCTTTGCCTCCAAGGACAAAGTTCTTTGTCTCCACAGACTCCTAAGTGCACCACTCACTCTTTTCCCCTCATCAATTCTATGATTCACCTCATCTTTCATAGACCCATCCGCTGACACGTCCACTCCCAAATATCTGAATACATTCACCTCCTCCATACTCTCTCCCTCCAATCTGATATTCAATCTTTCATCACCTAATCTTTTTGTTATCCTCATAACCTTACTCTTTCCTGTATTCACCTTTAATTTTCTTCTTTTGCACACCCTACCAAATTCATCCACCAATCTCTGCAACTTCTCTTCAGAATCTCCCAAGAGCACAGTGTCATCAGCAAAGAGCAGCTGTGACAACTCCCACTTTGTGTGTGATTCTTTATCTTTTAACTCCACGCCTCTTGCCAAGACCCTCGCATTTACTTCTCTTACAACCCCATCTATAAAATATATTAAACAACCACGGTGACATCACACATCCTTGTCTAAGGCCTACTTTTACTGGGAAAAAATTTCCCTCTTTTCTACATACTCTAACTTGAGCCTCACTATCCTCGTAAAAACTCTTCACTGCTTTCAGTAACCTACCTCCTACACCATACACCTGCAACATCTGCCACATTGCCCCCCTATCCACCCTGTCATACGCCTTTTCCAAATCCATAAATGCCACAAAGACCTCTTTAGCCTTATCTAAATACTGTTCACTTATATGTTTCACTGTAATATATATATATATATATATATATATATATATATATATATATATATATATATATATATATATATATATATATGTGTGTGTGTGTGTGTGTGTGTGTGTGTGTGTGTGTATATTGTATTTCCTTTAAGTGCGTTGATTAAATTTTGTAGTAAGGTTGTCGAGAAACACTGTGAGGCTTGCCCCGACAAGCGTACTTAGAAACTCGTTACAGTATTATATTTAAAACAACCTTATTACAGAAACTGTGAAATAAACCTATATGGCTAAACCCAAACATTTGTTTCAGATACAAGCAAGGTCCGTGTGACAAGGAGGAAACTATGAGGTTTCTCTCCTACCAACCTGCACTCCAAGCTGACCAAGTGGGTGAGATTCCCCCACCGTGGACGCTAATGTCGCACCGTTCCCAATTTGTCCCTCTGGAACAGTCACCGGACGCCCGTGTAATGTCCCCTACCATTAAAAACTCAACCAATTACTGGTCACAAGATCATGATAATGTTAACTGCGCATCTTCCTTCTCAAGACGTCTAGAGTCACAGACTTCGCCAAGTGACTTGCCTCATAGTCCGTACTGCGACTCTGACTTCGACAATAACGTATTCCCTGAGGACCTCCTGGAGTGGGCCTGCGGCTATGACTCAGACTCTCCGGGAAGCCCATCGCTCAGCAACAAGGGCGTCCCTAACATGTTCCCAGTGACTGAGAACGACTTTCTCTCGGAAGAAGATTCCCCTCTACCCTATGGAAGCCCCGTAGCCTCCTATAGAAGGTTTCAAGACTATGTGATGGAGAGCGCAGAGAATGAGGGGAGTGGCGGTGGACGTCCCGACACCCCTGGAAGACGCAGTTCGAGAACCCAAGGCTTTCCAACCCAGAGAGTGGCCTGTCAGGCTCCCCCAGCTCCTCTCCAGTCTTTGGATTTTATCACAACGGTGTTCGTCTGGGACAGACTCGACAATTTAGCACTTTTGGCAGAAAGTAAAATGCATGTGTGTGGAATATAAGTCACAATACGTGAATGGAACAATTCAAATACTGACTGAAAAAAAAAAATGTAAACTATGATCAGGTCAATCCAGTTTTGCCTTTTGATATTTCAAAACAATATGTAAAGTCAGCTTTTTATATAAAAAAGTTTTATTAAACTCTAAAGCGCATCGTTTTCGTATTTGTTTTATCCTAATAATGTTATGATAATTTACATATTATAGTTATTATTATTATTATTATTATTATTATTATTATTATTATTATTATAGTGACGGAGAGAGGCTGGGAATATGAGAGGTAATCAGGTTTGATCTAAGGAAAGTGACGGGCAGTTGCACTTTACAAGTACCAAGCCTCTGTGTGAACGTGTGAAACACAACTTACAAACTTATTTTTAAGTTGAATAAAATAGTGATGAAACTTCTTTGCAATAAAAACAGGTAGGCCACTCGCCGTTAATATAAAAAAAAAAGTGACGCGCCTCATTTCCGAGATGAAAAAGCAGTTCATTTGTAAGTTAAACAAAGTAGGAATGCAATACCGTTTGTAGTTAAAAAAAAAAAAAAACTGGAACGCAACTCGTTTATAAATCAAAGAAAACCCCAACTCGTTAGCAAGATAAAAAAAAGAGAAATCCAACTCGACTGTAAGTTTAGGACCTATATAATTATCACTATGATAATGGTACACATTACCGAGAAGTTGGCGAATAAGACATATGTGTAACACTTTGGTACTTTTTTTTCCAGATTCATTTCGGGAAAAAATATTCCAGTTTCATGTCTTATTTATCATCTTGTATAATTAGTCTGTAGTTCAGACTAATTATACAAGAGCATGAAAACAGAGTTCAAACGATCTATAATTAGGATGAAGTGAATGGTGAATAACTCAAAAACTATTTGACGACGTTTCGTCTATTTAGGGTGAAACAACGGTTTTAAATGAGTTAAAACATCAACTATTTGCTGGTAAAGCAAAAGCCTTAACATTATGGAAGCCTAAAGTTAAAAGAACAGACGCTTACCTGGTATAAGGGCCTGGTGGCAGATTTGGAACTGCTGAAGACAATGGATGGCAGGACGGAAGCCATAGTGACAGAAGAGATCAGCTGCCTTCACTAATCCGTGTAAGGTGAGGAGTCTCCGGTACAGTTTGTCTTCCTCGCTACCTGTAAGTGTAAATAAACACATTCACTATCCGTTTGTGGAATATAAACATACTACCTGTTCGTGGAATACACACATTTCCCGTTAGTGGAATACACGCACATTTCCCGTTAGTGGAATACACACACATTTCCCGTTAGTGGAATACACACACATTTCCCGTTAGTGGAATACACACACATTTCCCGTTAGTGGAATACACACACATTTCCCGTTAGTGGAATACACACACATTTCCCGTTAGTGGAATACACACACATTTCCCGTTAGTGGAATACACACACATTTCCCGTCAGTGGAATACACACACATTTCCCGTCAGTGGATTACACGAACTGTTGACCACGAACCTACACTTATCCTGTAGGATCGTGGTCAACAGTAGTTTATTCATTGCTGCTAGCTATCCACAGCCGTTTATGAATCATGTTGATATACATGAAATCTATCAAAAATATCCTATTACATAGTTGTTGTTTAGAGGTACGTACACAGAGATACAAGTTCTCACTGCACATACTGTATATCGCACATGGAGGATAACGCAAGAAAGGAGGAACACTGCAGCAGGCCTACTGGCCCATACTAAGCGCCTTTCTCAAACCCGAACCCACCAACAAAAATATTTGCTAAACAGTCTACGAGCAAATATACAGGTTATGTAACCGGTTTATTTAGTCTGTGCACGATTATCATTAAGGCTTCAGTGTATATGCACTTCATACCTATTAACTGAAAGGAAAAAGTAAACATGGGGGAAGGGCTTCATACTAATCAGGTACAACCATATCCAGCTTTTTATAATTTTTTATGTCTAACCCATCCTTAAAACATCACATAGAATTCTGATCGAAGATCTGATGCAATTACGCTACAACAAAATCAATGTTTCAATGTTTAGACTCACTTGGTTGGTAAGGTCCTTTGCGGGTCCTCACAATCTGGTTGAGGAGGGAACGAGTATAATCAGGCTGGAGGGTTGAGAAACTGTGGTTGTGGCCCACCACCTCCTTACTACGCAGGGATGATACCATCTTCTCCCCGAAGCTACGCACTACATCAACACACTTCTTGTACACCTCTGCCACCAGGAGGACCATTAGTATTAATATTTATGAATAAGACACATTTGCAACACCTGGGTATAATAATGATACTCGTGTTGTGCATGCAGTTTATTCATCAACTTGTCAGTGTTGAATACTATTAATGCACAAAATTAATATTACTGTATTCACAAAAAACTGCTAAATCCGCATGGGTCACTCAGCACAAGGAGTGGTGAGGACTCTATCCCCTATTCACCAATTGCGGCCCCGTCTCTCAGCCAGACCGGTCAATAATATATATATACTAGACCAGACTTTAGGACAGCACATATATGCTACAACAAAATAGCATCGCTTTTCACTGAACAAAGTTATAATAAAATCAATATGTAGAAAATAAGCATAAAATGTTTCTGACATAATAAAAGACATCCTAATTATGTATTCAAAAATCGTGTCATACAGCTCCTGGAGAATGTGAGGTAATCAGATTTGATTGCTGGAAAGGGAGGGTGGTTTCAATTCCATGGATCAAGTCCTTCAGAAGCATCCAATAGAAGTCATCACAAGAATTAAAAAAAACTCACCATTCAAAGAAACTTCAAGGATGTAGTGGATTGTGCCTTTCTCCCTTCTTCTTTTCCTGGCTCGACCAGTGCTGCCGGAGGCGCTGCTGGTGACCACGGTGACAGTGGCGGTGCTGTTGCTTATATTAACGGTGTTATTAGAGGTAGTTTGTGTTATATTAGAATCTGTGGTGCTGCTGCTGTTAGTGGTGTTGACAATGGTGTCGCTGTTTGTTGTGGTAGTGCTCTTGTTAGGGGTGGTGACGGTGGCATCATTTCCGCTGGAGATTTTGTTACTGATCTCGCTGCACGTAATGGTAGTGCTACCACCTTCCTTTCCGCTATTTTCAGTCGTTCCAAAATCTTTGTCATCCTTCTTTGTCTGGGTGACTTCAGCGTCAATATCCACTGGTCGTACTCCGTTGGCAGATGAACTCTCATTACTGGTAGAAGGCTGCGTATTGTTTTGAGATGGCAGTGTACCAGATCTCAACAATTGCTGACTGTGGACAGATTGCTTAATATCGCTGGCAGATATTTGGCAATCACTAGAGTGTTGCTGTGCATTGCTGTTTGACGACTCTGTATCACTTGGATGTGACGGTACACTTGCAGATAGCAGGGTATTACTCTTATCATCCTCCTCACACCTTTTGGCGTCTTCTATATACCTGGTTTCCTGTTTACACCTGCTGGAATACACTTCACTCTTTCCAACATCGTTTGGTTTTCCACAACTGTTAATTTTTCTAGCTTCGCTGGAAACAGGGGATAGTACCCTTTTGTGAACCGCTTGTTTACCTTCCTCAGCCTGGCGATGCTTAGTGATAAAGTCCTCTAAAGTAGAATCAAACTCCCGCAGTCGCTTATGAGAATGTTGATAGCGTTCTGCATCCATTACAGTAGATTTTGTTTTGACTTTCAGCTGATCAATCTTCTGCGAAATCCGTTTCACGAAGTCGCTAAGTGAGGAAATGCTAGACTGTGACGGAGACACAGAGGTGGCGACAGAGTCGTGCTTCACAGTCACGAGTCTCGACGAGACTCTGAGAGGACCTTCTGGGGAAGCACCTTGTACCTTGGACGTTGTGTCCTCATTTTCTCTTTCGTTTTCATTTTCTCCCGTCTTCTCCTTAACGCTTGTCTTCGAATTTTCAATCATCTTTTCAGACTGAAGTAATTGCCCGGGTGTAATCGTTTTCGATTCTCCTGCTATGTCTTTTACATATACATCAATGGTTTTAAATTGATACTCATTCATGGCAGGCTTGTCTCCAACCTTGTTTATTCTTCTACTTGACTCTTCTGTTTGGTACGATCTGGGTATACTGCAATCTCTAGTTTCATTATCTTTCAGTTTACTTACACGAGAGCAGTATTTTCCATCATCTGACTGATCTTCATTTTTGTTAATTATAGTTTCTTTCTGAATCGCAGGTAACCTAACATCGTTATTATCCTTTCCATCTACTGTGTTCTGTACATTTTCCAATTCTCTAACCTGGCTTATCCTCTGATCACTAGCTTCGTTTTCATTTTTTTTACATTTTTTTTCTCTTTCATTATCAGTTTTAACTGCAGTTACTGGCAATTCTGTCATTTCTGACACATTAGTGGCGGATTCATTATACTGACCTTTAAAAGCGAGTGGCAAACCATTTTTATCTATTCTGTCTCTTTCACTCTGAATATCTGCTGTCTGAGTGTGTGCAACATTCACTTTTCTTATAAATTCAACCTCCTGTTCCACTACATTATTTTTAGTAAGCACATGAACTGTATGAGGTTCTTTTTCTGTTATATCACATTTCTTATCAATACTGCCTATCGTAGCCATCTTAATTGTATTTGTAACAATAGGTTTAAGATATGGGATTGACTTCCTTTGTTTCTCCTTATCTTCATTGAGTTGGGACACGATGGGTGATTTTCTATTCATCTGAGGAATGAAGAACAATTTTCCATTCATTTGAGGTAAAATGGATGATTTCCCTCTTAATTCACTCTCATAAGTCTTTAACTGCAACAATTTTGTTTGGCCTTCTTCCGTCTTTTTCCAGTCGTTCGAAACAATAGTAGTGCATTCTTCCATCTTTCCTTTATTTAAGACAATTGTTATGCATTCTTTAATCTCACCTTCCTCCAAAACATTTACTGCACAGTCTTTCATATTCCTCTCGTCTAAAACAGCTGTGCAATCATCCCTCTTCCCTTCGTTTAAAACAACTGTTATGCATTCGTTAATCTTACCCTCATCCAAAACATTTACTGTACGTTCTTTTATATTCCCTTCGCTTAAAACAACTGATGTGCTTTCTTCCATCTTCCTACCTTCCTTCATTATTATCTTCCTGCTTTTGTCATTATCACCGCTGTCTTTTTCTTTTGTAAATGTCGTTCTTTCCTCAAGTGTGAATTTCATCTCTCTCTCTCCCATGATTCTTAGCTCTTCCACAAGTCCTTGAATAATACTACTACGATATCTTTGATACCATAAAGGTTGTGTTTTAATTTCGGTAGAAGCACTGACGGTGTCCAGTTCCTCGTGTTTAGCAACGCCATCTTCACTAGTGGTGAGTAGGGTACTTCCACGGGCTGAGGTTTCGCAACGAAGTAGATCCATATTTTCTAACACGACCTTCGGTTGCGATGGTGAGACTGATGTTCCTTGATTTTTTTTTACACCGGGTTTTTCTAATCTTTCTTGCATCTCCACAACCTGGTATTTTGCCCTTGTGTTCTTTTCTGCTACACACAGTGATTCTGGTACTGGTTGATGTGTCACCCTCAGTGATTCTGATAATGAGTGGTCCACCAGTACATCATTTTGTAGAATATGTGGGTCTGGCTTTTCTTGGCTCTTCATACCACTGACCTGTGGCTTTTGTAAATTTGTAGTCTCTTTACGCTCTAGTCCATCGTTTTCAAGTTTGGATTTTAGCAGTTCTTCCTTCTCCAGCGAAGGGTTTTGCGACTCTTGTGATTCTGAAATTTTCTGGACCTCTAATACATTGTTTAGTGATCTAACAATTTCCTTAGTCGAGTCTAACTGTTCTTTGAGGTTATCAACAGATGGAGTTTCACACGTTTCAAAGCTATTCTTACAAGTAACATCTGTCAGGGTGGTAGTTAGGGTCTGCTCATTGTAAGAACTGCTAATACTTTTATTTTCAAAGTGGGTTGGTGAAGATTTAGAAGCCTTAGATTCATTCAGGCTTCCATCATTGATCAATATGTTTACCTTTGTACCCTGAACAGGATCTTTTTCTATCTCAGAGTTACAGGTTTCCTTAAAGGTTTTGTATTTTTGTATTAATTTACACTCTTCCTTTGGCTTTTGCTCTTGTACGCTTTTATAATCCCCATATGTCATTTTATCCCTTGAAGTCCCATCCTTCTTAAATAAAATTACATCTTTTTTCTTGAAGGTTTGAGTGTCATCCCCTAAACTTTTGTTCTCTGGGATCGAAATTTCTCGTTTTCGTACCTCTGAAACATGACTATCAGACATTTCGATGTTTCCACTCAAGGCTGCACCAGCATCACATGCCCGACCTGAATAAACACACTGGTGAATGATACCAACTTCCTCAGCTGGCGAGACCTGCATACGCTGTTGCTGGGAAACGCTCAGCACATGCACGGGAAAGATGAGCTGACCATCACTCACGAAGATGATGGAGGACACGTCTGTGAACTCGCAGTAATCAGCATTATTCTCATTTGTTGAATTTCCTTTTGCCAGATCTCTCGCTTTAGCTTCAGAGGAAATTCTTCCCTGAAGAGTCACGTTCAGTGATTCTGGCATATTCAGACTGTCTTCCTTGAGTAACCTCACCGCATCTTTATGTTCTAAGGAACTCTCTCTCCCCTGTCTGTACTGCTCCAAACCTCTACTTACAACATAATTATCATGCTTCCTTGGCTGTCCAAGTATTTCTGTGCTCTCATCGTCTCGTATCTTGATGTTATCTGCGAACTTAGTCTTACCAAATTCGCTGAACTGGTTTCTTGTATCACCATCTGCAGATTCTTGGTGCTTATCGACGACATTCGTCTGGGAGTGCTTCAAGGGGCAAGGAAAGGTGTTAAGGTGAATAAAATCAGAAAACACCAATCGCAATGTATGGATTTTGTTTATAAGCACAGTGTCAACTTGCTTTTTATCTGTTGATCTGATGATCTCAAGTTCCCCCGTCTCCATCATGGGAGAACTTTCTGGCTCATCTGACGATGTTTGCAGTAACTTGAAATTTGGAACTTCAGTTTTTTTATTATCACGTTGGGGAAGTTCATCAGCTGATAAAGCACTTGCATGTGCAGCCGTGTTTCCAGCTGTTTTTATTGTCTTATGAAATGCTTCAGCATTCTTACACTCATCCCCTGAAAATTTGTCCTTAGAATTTTCTTCTAACATATCAACATCAAAATCATCTTCAAAGATAATAGTGGAGGCATCACTGAGGTAATTACTATCTGTTACAGCTGTGTCTTTCTTCGTATCATCACATCTAACCTCTAGCTTCCCAACCTGTGATTGGCAAGCCTTGTGTGGTTCAAGTATTTGCTTCTCTCTAATTGGTGATGCCGGTGGTAATGAACGATTCAAGTCCGGCAGCTCATCATCATCATCTGACAATATCAACACATTCATTACGTCTGCATTCTTATCCGAAGACACTTTTTGCATGAGATTATCTTTTCTTCCAGAGAATGTTTCATTTGAAACATGCTTTGAAGTCGAGTTTCTGTAAGATTCTTCTTTTCCGGAAGATGTTCCAATTGGATCTTCCTTTTCAATTGGTTCAGGTGAAGAATCACTTGAAAGGATTATAAAATGTGATGTAACTGGTTGTGTATTTGGGATCACTTGCACATCGTCCCCATCTGTGTCTCGATCGGGTCCAACAACTACCTTCTGGGCCAGTACATCCCGCTCATGACCTAGAGCTTCCTTGTTAACAGTCATCTTAGACTGCTGAGTTCTAGTGACTGGAATCTTGAGGACAGTAAGCTTTGAATAACTTGAGCCAGACACAACATGGCGCTGGGATGTACCGGTTGGTGCTCTATCCTGGTGATGTATAGAGCTGGGCCGCGAGACAGTCGAGTACCTCTGATGCTGTGTAGTGCTCTTGTGGGGTAAAGGTTGACGCTGAACTACACTACGACGATCCCGAATCATTTGCAGAGAAAGAGTTGGACGATTAGATGGCGTGAGCGTGGTGATAGCACGATGAGATAATGTGGGCGTGGTGACAGGGCGCTGAGAGGGTGTGAGTGTGGTGATAGGGCCCTGAGATGGCGTGAGTGTGGTGACAGGGCGCCGAGATGGTGAAGACGGGGTGATAGGAAGCTGTGACATTACGGGCGTCCGATCTGTAGACATGACAGTGATAGGCAAAGTACACTTTGTACCATCAGCACCCATGCGGTAGAGGTGGTATGTGGTCCGTGGTGGTGACACTTCCTCCACGTCAATCCACTCGTCTTCCTCATCCACTTCCTGAGTGGTCCATTGGTCACGTCTACGACCTCCCCGAAACAGAGGGCGCGCGTGTCTAGTTCGTCCCTAAAATCACAAAAATATTGTATTGTTGACTATCTCAGGTAAATATTTATTATAATAATTATCATAATAAAAAGAAGCCCTAAACCGGTATGAGTCATACAACTCGAACGTATAAAAATCAGGAATAATTCTTTTAAATATTTTATGAATATGACAGATAACTAAAATGTAATAATAATAATACCTTTATTTCTACAAGTACATGTACAAGGTATACAAGCCTAGCTCACATCAATGACATACTACCATATAGAAAGCCGCTTGTTATCTAGAGCATTTCGGGCATATTAGGTCAGTTTTATCCCGGGATGCGACCCACACCAGTCAACTAACACCCAGGTACCCATTTTACTGATGGGTGAATATAAACAACCGGTGTAAGGAAACACGCCCAATGTTTTAACCCTCTCCGGGAATCGAACCCGGACCCTCAGGCTGTGAAGCGAGAGCTTATGTCACCAGGCCCGTGGCCTGGTGGCAAAAGGTACAAGTCACCTGATGACTTGTACCATTTACAAGTCACAATAACACACGAAGGTGAAGGAGCCAGTATATATGGAAGAGAGAGGGACAGGGATGGGACAGAGAGAGGACGACAGAAGGAAGTGGAGAAGTACTGGTAGGGTAATTTTGGTAGTGGAAGAAAGTTTAAACGCCTAAAATGATGGAAAAGTTAAAAACCTCTTAACCTGACTATTAGTAACTGAGTGCATACTAGGATGGATATGATTATGACATACAAGATACTCGGACGCCTTCCAGGACAGACCGAAGCGTCGTCTTAAAATTTCTCTCCAAATTCTCGGTGAGCTGTGAAACGCATAAAGTTAGCAAAATTATGCTAAAGAAAAAGATGTCACTTACGGAGATCTGAGCATTTTTACATGGTGTCACAGCACATTTAGTGTAGCGCCTCCCAGGCGTAGGTGTGGGAATGGAGAGAGATGCGCGAGGCTGGTGCGACAGTGATCGCTGCTGCTGATGGCTGAGTGATGGAGTGACTGGGTCAAACTGGCAACGAATCTCCTGAATATCTTGCGCGATGCTGTCTCCTTGCTCCCAAGACCTGCATATGTATATTTACACTGCAGAGAGATTCAGGTGGTGGTGGTGATGACAGAGGTAGTGGTAGGGGTGATGGTTGTGGTGGTGACAGGCGGTGGAAGTGGGGCTAGGGATCGTAGTGGCAAAAGGTTCCCTTTCTCTCAAACTGTGCACAAAGTTAACATGTGAACCTCAACAAACCACTCATGAATAGAGAGTAAGATGATACACCCAACCTACTAATTTTTACTTCATATCCGACTAAGGAAGTACTTTGTTACTAAAAAAAATCCATCGCCATTTCATCGAGAAAGGTGAGACTTATTACATTCATTGGGAAGCACTATGCTGGTAAAGATCTTACAGAGCCTGGGGAATGAGCGGCGTACAGGTAATCAATTTTGATCTAAGGAAGGGGAAAGTAGCTCCAATTTCTTTAAACAAGAGCCCTTAAATCATTCAGCAATACAAAAACCAAGGACATGCATGAGTGCAGGTTAAACGCCAAGAGCCAGACGATGCATACGGTAGAAGTTATAATTACTAATACATATAGATACATTTATTGACAGGTAGAAAAGAAAAGCTTAATGTCCCTAGTTCTCACCTGGGAGCTGCCCAGGTGGGTGGAACGGGCGTAGGTGGTGGCGAGGTGGGGACGGGATGAAAGATAGGTTTCACTGGCTGGGTGGGTCGCTGGATACTTTCATTTCCACACTTTGCTTTCCACCTGCCATAATGAAATTCATTATAAGTATTATTATTATTATTATTATCATCATATTCTTATTATAATTATTATTCATGGAGAACCACCAACCCAGTAGGCTTCATACAACGCCTGGAGAGTAGATACGATCAAGATATAAAAGTACTCAGAGACATTAACAGAATGGAAAGAGAAAGACGGATATAATAGGGACCACAATGAGCACATTCTATGAGCATCAAGATAACACAAACACTATGAAATACTTTTACAATTTGAGTAATTTTATTAGTCACGGGGTAGCAGGTTCAGCGCTTCCCTGTGGTAGGTAATTGCATCCAGGGAAGAAGTTGGTAACTCCAATGCCTTGGATTCAGAGCTCTTCCCTAGCATAAAGGCTTGAAGGTATATGCAATAAAGTGGAACGGGCTAGAAAGTAAAACAGTAGAAGCTAACTCTAATCCAAGTTAGAGCCAGGATCAAGCCCTGCAAACTTAGCTAGGTAATAACACAATTAGAATTCTTATTATGTACACCATTACATGTTTTTAAAACAGTTCAATTTAGAGACTAAGAGCTGTTATGACCACGTCACTTCATTTTAAAGACTAACCCTAACTAATGTTTACTACATCGCCCTGGAATGCCACCCATAACGATGCATTATAACCTAGATAACTAGTTACTGTTTGATGTACATGCACAGACAGTACAAGACTGCTTATGTCTCGATTAATCCAGAAATTGAACCTAGGTTCTTTCTGTTAATTCGAACATTCTAGCAGAGCTACAGGTCTTATGTGACTCGCATTCTTATTATATTTAAGAGAAGAGCTAAATCCTTGGGTCATTAGCAGCAAGGAGCAGTGGAGGCTCGATCCTCTGCCAAGTGCTTAATAGACACGCTACCTAACTGTACTCGCCCCGCCCTCATGTTATTCTCCAGTGAACATTTCCATCCCGTTAAAGGAGGTCCTTTGATGCTGGTGAGGGGCTGTTGATCTAAGGAACTGAGCCTGTGCTCCAATTCCTGACTCGAACCTGGATGCCTCGATCCTTAAAGGTTTAGTGGCCCGGTGGCCTGGTGGCTAAAGCTCCCGCTTCACACACGGAGGGCCCGGGTTCGATTCCTGGCGGGTGGGAACATTTCGACACGTTTCCTTACACCTGTTGTCCTGTTCACCTAGCAGCAAATAGGTACCTGGGTGTTAGTCGACTGGTGTGGGTCGCATCCTGGGGGACAAGATTAAGGACCCCAATGGAAATAAGTTAGACAGTCCTCGATGACGCACTGACTTTCTTGGGTTATCCTGGGTGGCTAACCCTCCGGGGTTAAAAATCCGAACGAAATCTTATCTTATCTTATCTTACCCTCCCCCCCCCTCCATGAATGTAATAATAATGAACATTTCCACACATGCTTACCTTCCCTGGTTGAGATGTTTTTGCGTAGTAGGGGAAGTGTCACAGCTCGGGGTTGTAGTTGCAGTGGTGATGGAACTGGTAGCGCTGGGGAAGAGAAGAGCCGTGCGGAGAGCGGAGGCATATTCCAAAGCCGCTGCTTCAAAGAGAGTTCTCACTAGGCGCCGCATTCTGAAGGGCCTGATGGTGGAAGTGGCAGTGGTCGGCGCTGGGCTGTTGGGTGTATCACTGGTCCTAGTATCCCAGAGATGGGAACAAGATATGGACTGACTAGGCGACTCATGGAATGAAATTTGACTAGGTGACTCTTGGAAGGGAGCTTCACTACCTGCTGGTTGACTGGTCTCATTGATTGTTGGGCTATTGGGCAAGTGGTGGCTGGTGAACCGGCTGGATGACTGGTGGCCCATGAGCTGACTGACTACTGGCTGTTTACATTCTGCGATTTCTTGCGGAGGAGCTAAGAATCGAGTATTGACTGGAGAATTCGTGGGAGAGCAAGCAGTCGTCGAGAGAGCAGAGGGCAAGAGTGATGAGCTGGATTGAACATCTGCTGTAGTAGCTAGTGTAGGCACGACTGGTGGTGGTGGCTGGATGGAGGGTGAGGACACCTCGCCCTTGCTGTTGCATGTTGAAGGTGGAAGCCAACGCTGAGAACACGCCAAGGCCATCGATGGAGAGACTTGTATTTCTGTCGGTCTTTGAGACCCAGATAAAATAGACATCAGTCGAAGTTGGCACGATAATCGGAGCAGGTTGTGGTCTGGCGACGGGAATCAGCTTTCCGCGAAATTTTGGTGTAGCAGTACTGAAAATTCTCCTTCTACTACCCATCATATCTACCTGAAAAAATAGCGTAACAAAAGAAAAATATATCACTAGAAAAATAAATACGCCTTCCTCCTAGGAAAATTCATTACTAAAGGAATAAAATTAAACAATTAAAGAAAATAACATCTAGTGAATCGCAAAAAAATAAGAGTAAATAACAAAGAAAATAACAGTAAATCACAACTAATATAATATAAATCACAAAGAAACTACGTGATAGGGTGATGGACTGATTATACCTCTACTACTGCTGCTGCCTCTGTATTAGACTGAAGAAGCCTACTGAGCAGGCGAAGCGTTTCGGAATAAAGATACCTAACTGTTGCACACGTCTTATCATCACTCCTAAGACATTTCACGAAATTTTTCATCGAATAAATGTCCTGAACTCTACAGAAGTATCCTTTTTTCATAGTTTGTTGGTATCATCATACCATTTACAACCAACCCTACACCGAGGGATGAATGTCTGTCTGTGTGCACCGATATTTCATTTTAATTCTTATTTTAAGGATTAAAGTATTCTCTTAACTGGTGGTGGATACGTTACATTCAGGTTAATTAATGACCTTCATGTAATCAGTCGATAGGCTTTAAACCCAATTAATATTTGCATGAACTTCACAAAACGATAAAAAAAAAAATCAAGTTAATACAAAAACCAGCTATTTTTTCATGTGATCAACTGGCTTTTGTTGTTGAGGAAACAATACGCCTCTAGCAAAACAAAAAAAAACAATGCTTCATTAAATAGTCAAATTTTCGCTGAATCTATGTACATGTTCACCAGATTTTGTTAGGCTACAAGAGTGATGGCAAAAATGGGGAGTGGTATTACAGGAGTAGGATGGAGCAGTGAAAATGCATTGCATGCTAGTGGCTTTTTATACTTAACAATATTCTGTTACATGTAAACTACATTTTGTATACTGCAGAAAGGAAATATAGCTGTACTGTATTGTATTGTATTGTGGGTAGACGGGAAGGGAGAAGCAAGAGAGGTTGAAGTGACTTGACCACTTTAAGTGGGTTAATTTTTTGGGGGCCAGTGAAGAATTGTGGTAGGCTCCTTATTTACTCAACAAGTTTTCAAACCTGCGAATATTATTATTATTTATTATTATTATTATTATTATTATTTTATTATATCATTATTATTATTCATGGGTAAGCACTGAATTCATAAGGGTCATAGAGTGCCAAGGAAATACGAGATAATCCGACTATCCAAAGAGATTAGCTTCAATTCCTTGGATCAAGATCTCTTCAACGACATCTCGACACCCTCTGAATACAAAACCTTTACTAGGTAGCACAAAACATATTTTAACTCTATACCCGTCACATTTTTCTCATGGGGAAACGCTAACCCCGTAGGGGCCATAATGCGCCCGGGGTATGGTAGGAATGTAAGTAATCAGGTTTGATCCAAGGAAAAGGAGGGAAGCTCCAATTCCTTGGAGGACAAAAAAACGCATGAAGGTACCCCCACAATTTAGAGCCAGTTACTATATTTATGTAAAGCTATAAACCCGTAGGGGATCATAAAGCGCCTAGACCCTAGAGAATGAAAGACAGTTAGGTTTGATCCAAGGAAAAAAAAGAGTATCTCCATTCCTTAGATAAAGAGCTTTGCACGGCACGCTGGAAGAAACCATTGAAAAGTTACCCCAAGTAGGTGGCCTTTTTTTTTTTATCACGGTGATGGTGTTCACCATATAACGTTACATTAACACACTTAACATACGGTTAGTATGTTATAGGCCTACAGATAGGAGGCTTTACCCTTTTAATTACTGACATAGGCTTACAGTGGAGAGAGAAGTTTTTCCTAAGTGATCATAACATTGATTCTTATTTAATCACAACATAATGCTACATCAACACACTTAACATAGTTAGTACGTTTCAGGCCTACAATTAGTGAGTTAATGACCTATAATAGTATATATAACAAGTGTTCTTCACAAAAAAAAAAGGAGCAACACTTACGTAAATGTGACCGTTGTTGCGTCTCACTTGTTACTGTTGTGACGCTCAAGTGATCAGCTGTTATATACTGCTCTTCTTACCTTTAATGTACTCTCTTAACTTCTGTCTTTAATATACTCTCTTAACTTCTGCCTTCAATATACTCTCTTAACTTCTGCCTTTAATATACTCCCTTAACTTCTGCCTTTAATATACTCTCTTAACTTCTGCCTTTAATATACTCTCTTAACTTCTGCCTTTAATATATTCTCTAACTTCTGCCTTTAATATACTCTCTAACGTCTGCCTTTAATATACTTTCTAACTTCTGCCTTTAATATACTCTCTTAACTTCTGCCTTTAATGTACTCTCTAACTTCTGCCTTTAATATGCTCTCTAACTTCTGCCTTTAATATACTCTCTTAACTTCTGCCTTTAATATACTCTCTAACTTCTGCCTTTAATATACTCTCTAACTTCTGCATTTAATATACTCTCTAACTTCTGCCTTTAATATGCTCTCTTAACTTCTGCCTTTAATATACTCTCTAACTTCTGCCTTTAATATACTCTCTAACTTCTGCCTTTAATATACACTCTTAACTTCTGCCTTTAATATACTCCCTTAACTTCTGCCTTTAATATACTCTCTTAACTTCTGCCTTTAATATACTCTCTAAGTTCTGCCTTAATATACTCTCTAACTTCTGCCTTTAATATACTCTCTTAACTTCTGCCTTTAATATACTCTCTAACTTCTGCCTTTAGTATACTCCCTTAACTTCTGCCTTTAATATACTCTCTAACTTCTGCCTTTAATATACTCTCTAACTTCTGCCTTTAATATGCTCTCCAACTCTTGCCTTTAATATACTCTCTAACTTCTGCCTTTAATATACTCTCTTAACTTCTGCCTTTAATATACTCCCTTAACTTTTGCCTTTAATATACTCTCTAACTTGTCTTTAATATACTCTCTTAACTTCTGCCTTTAATATACTCTCTTAACTTCTGCCTTTAATTAATATACTCTCTTAACTTCTGCCTATAATATACTCTCTAACTTCTGCCTTTAATATACTCTCTTAACTTCTGTCTTTAATATACTCTCTAACTTCTGCCTTTAATACACTCTCTAACTTCTGCCTTTAATATGCTAACTCTTGCCTTTAATATACTTTCTAACTTCTGCCTTTAATATACTCTCTAACTTCTGCCTTTAATATACTCTCTAACTTCTGCTTTTAATATACTCTCTTAACTTCTGCTTTTAATATACTCTCTAACTTCTGCCTTTAATATACTCTCTTAACTTCTGCCTTTAATATACTCTCTAACTTCTGCCTTTAATATACTCTCTAACTTCTGCCTTTAATATACTCTTTTAACTTCTGCCTTTAATATACTCCCTTAACTTCTGCCTTTAATATACTCTCTTAACTTCTGCCTTTAATATACTCTAATTTCTGCCTTTAATATACTCTCTAACTTCTGCCTTAATATACTCTCTAACTTCTGCCTTTAATATATTCTCTTAACTTCTGCCTTTAATATACTCTCTAACTTCTGCCTTTAATATACTCTCTAACTTCTGCCTTTAATATACTCTCTTAACTTCTGCCTTTAATATACTCCCTTAACTTCTGCCTTTAATATACTCTAACTTGTCTTTAATATACTCTCTTAACTTCTGCCTTTAATATACTCCCTTAACTTCTGCCTTTAATATACTCTAACTTGTCTTTAATATACTCTCTAACTTCTGCCTTTAATATACTCTCTAACTTCTGCCTTTAATATACTCTCTTAACTTCTGCCTTTAATATACTCTCTAACTTCTGCCTTTAATATACTTTCTAACTTCTACCTTTAATATACTCTCTAACTTCTGCCTTTAATATACTCTCTTAACTTCTGCCTTTAATATACTCTCTAACTTCTGCCTTTAATATACTCTCTAACTTCTGCCTTTAATATACTCTCTTAACTTCTGCCTTTAATATACTCTCTTAACTTCTGCCTTTAATATACTATCTAAACTTCTGCCTTTAATATACTCTCTAACTTCTGCCTCTAATATACTCCCTTAACTTCTGCCTTTAATATACTCTCTAACTTCTGCCTTTAATATATTCTCTTTCTAACTCGTACCTTTAATAAAATTTTGAAAATTTATGTAATGTATTTATGAACATATTTGTCAGTTAACATGGTATTCAGGGTTTTTGTTTTGCACCGAAATTAACTTAGCAAGTTTAATTAATATTGGTTAAATTGACTTAGTAAAATGTGTACTCACCTATTCGTGGTTGCAGGGGTCAATTCATAGCTCCTGGCTCTGCCTCTTCACTGATCGCTTCTAGGTCCTTTCTCTCCCTGCTCCATGAGCTTTCTCATACCTCATCTTAAAGCTCTGTATAGTTCCTGCCTCCACTACCTCACTAGCCAGACAACTCTGTGACTAAAGAAATGCTTCCTAACATCCCTTTAACACATCTGAGTCTTCAACTTCAACTATATATACATATATATATATATATATATATATATATTATATATATATATATATATATATTATATATATATATATATATAATATATATATATATATATATATATATATATATTTTGGTGTATACAAAGAGATATAAATCATTTGGTGCAGACTTAGACTATTTTCTAGAGGGCTGAGAAGGGGGTTATGTATGTGGTTTGGACAATTAGAGAGGACAGAGCAAAATAGAATCACCTGGAGAGCATATGAATGTAAAATGAAGGGAAGGAGGGCAAGGAGTCATTCCAGGAAAGACTGGAGGTGATAAAGGTTTTGCATGCAAGGGGCTTGGACAACGACAGGCGTGTGTGAGCGAATTAGATAGGAGTGGAGGCAAATAGTTTTTTTGATGTGACATGCAGTTGGAGTTTGAGCAAGGTAATATTTATTAAATGATTTAGGGAAGCCAGTTTACTGTACGTGCTTGAATCCCAGAGGGAGTGCGTACAGTGCCTGCAATCTGGAGGGGGTGGGGATATTTGGAGGAGTATCAGAGCTGTAATGTCGATGCACCTTTGCCAAGACGGTGATGGAATGATGGTGAAAGTGTTTCTTCATTTTTGGATCACCCTACCTTGGTGGGAGATGGCCGGTGCTCAAAAAAAAAAGTCTTTTAGTGCTGATACATGCACATCTTCTTGTACAGATGTACCTCTTTATTATTAAAATCATAACTAAGTGCTAAACCCACAAGGGTCATACAGTGCTGCACGGTAGGACTTGCTAAAGGTTTAATATGCTTGATCAGCAACTAACAAGGCAAGGTGAATAGTATAACAGAGACAGAGTTAGCAAGGGCAGGGTAAACTGCTAAAGTATTATCAAAGTTTGTGACAGCAATAGGTTTATATCTATTGCTGTCAGAAAATCAAAGAGGGAGTCTGAGTCAAGAGTGGAATATATACCTCTTGATATATATCTTTGGACATACCTCTGTATATATATAAGAACAAAAGAAAGGGGGAACACTGCAATAGGCCTGTTGGCCCATACTAGGCAGGTCCTTCCTTGATGTACTGTATACACTTCTCATTGTATATGTAGATACATCCCTCAGTGTTTATACATTGAGACATGTATTTATGTGGGAATGATATATCCATAAGGATTATACGGCGCCTGGGAAATCGGAGAAAAGGTTTGACCAGAGGGAGGGGAAGGGTAGTTCCAGTTTCTTGGATGAGGATTATAATCAAAATCAAGTGCTAAACCCTCACTAACACCAAGGTCCACCTCCTTTGATGTGGATCTATAATGTAGATGGAAGCACATTGTTTGGAGATTTATTTTTAAAGGATAAAATAAGTTGTACCACCATATGGCTACTCTGATTTACATTTTAAATAGAGCAAGACTTTTCTTATTATTTGACACACACACACACCAGATGAGTATTCAAAAAAAAAAAAAGTAATGAAATCTGTCAGCTTGAGCTGGGATGCCTCAGTAGGGTGATGAGGTTATTGTCAAGAATTTCACTGGGTTCAGGAGCTACAGCAGCTTTCAATTTCCTTTCAGCAGGGCTCAAGTTGCTTTTACATGGCGATAGTTAAGTACGGGATTCAAAAGGAATGTAGTAATTTTATTACTATATTTACAAGATTAATGTATTAAGTGATTATGTGTGAGTGAGGTGAAAGTGTTGAATGATAAAGAAAGTATTTTCTTTTTGGGCCATCCTGCCTCGGTGGGAGACGGCTGACTTGGGAAAAAAAAAAAAATTACAAGAAAGTAACAAACCCATATGGGTCATATAACACCGACAGGAAATATATGTGCTAAAGCAAAAGTCAAAGTGGGTGTAAAAAAAGTTTCATCCAAGACAGCCTAATAGTAATGAAGTATATTGATAGTACTAAACCTGAATGTGTCATATTGCAGATTATTATTATTATAATCAAGGGGGAAGCGCTAAACCCAGAGGATTATACAGCGCCTGGGGGGGGGATGTGGAAGGCATTCAGGCTTAATTCGGGGAACTGGAGCACAGATCCAATTCCCTAAATCAAGAGCCCCTCACCAACATCAAGGAACCTTCCTTGAGGGGTCATATTGCAGAGAAGCGTAAAACAGTCTGATCTGGACCAGTGTGACCTTCATCGTTTAATACAGTAAAGAGGCTAGTTTGCAATGGAAGGCAAGGCTAATGTAAGGCTTTCGGTCACTTACAACAAAATAGATTCAGGAGCCCTTCAATAGCATCAAGGCCCTTGAAGGGACAATCTCCATCTCCCTAGGGCTACTGCAAACTTTTTGGTTGACCATGCAATGAATTGGACCTGAATTTGGGTTGATCTACACTTCACTTATATATAATGTACTGTACAACTCTTATTGCTGTATACATCTGAAAAACTTAAGTTGCATGATCATAGCTTGCATTTACAATATTCTGAGATTTAAATTTAGGTTTTCATTTCCAATAAAAGCACCTTCACTCCCAATAAAAGCACCATTTCCATCAAGCAGCTCTGAAGCTGAATTCATTTCTGTTAAGCTCTGAAGGTGAATTCATTTCTATTAAGGAGCTCTGAAGGTGAATTCATTTCCATTAAGTTATACCACAAAGGCAAGCAGATGCCTCTTCCCCATTGTGCAATGGGGAACCCCATTGTCTTAATACAGCAGCGGACAGTGAGGGAGTGTAAACAGCCTCCCACGAGTCAGCGTATCTGAGTGTGTACCATATAATTTTTACATAACATTAGAAAGACACTCGAGCAGACCTATTGGCCCATCTGAGGCAGGTCCAAGTGGCCTACTGGCTCATGCCACTGACCCAACCTAGTCAGGTCCAGGTGAAGGCTAAACTCAAAGCAAATCTGGCGTATATTATTATTATTATAATCAAAAAGAAGCGCTAAGCCACAAGGGAATCTGGTGTATAAACCTGTCCCCACATCCAGGTATTTGACTAGGCTTTGGGGGCCATGACTCTTCAACCTGTTACAGTAATAATGTAACAAACAAGTGTACTGGGAGTAAATGCTTCTCACCAGTCATACAGTGCCTGGAAAATGGTAGGCAATCACTTTTCTTGTGCTAATGGGTCTGATGCAGTGCTCCCTCCCTCTTAAGCAGATGCAACCTGGGCCCAACCAGCCTGGGCCATTGGCCCAGGCTGGCAGGTGACCTGAACCCACCTCACATGGGCCAGCAGGCCCATTGCAGTGCTCCTTCCCTCCTGTTCCTATGATCTAAGGAAGCAAATATAGTGGCTATTCCTTGAACCATGATCCCTCCAGCCACTGTCACCCCTTAAGGAGCCATCATCCACAGAAAATCTACCCTAAGAATATAACAACATCTGTTAGTTATAAATTAAGGTAGAATGATTTAACCAGGCGAGCCAATCAAGCATAAACTACACAGTCACCTTCTATTATTGTTCAAAGTGGCAGCATTCCTGGTTCAGGTGAACGACATCTTTATCTGTTAAATGAGTGACAATATCCAGTGCTATGGAACTGTGTAATTGTAACAACCACAATTGAAATTAAGTTTTCAAACTTTCCTGCTTTATCAGATTCCAGCGATACATTCAACACAACCCCTAGCAGCAGATTAACTTCTTCGCTCAATTCTTTTCATAACCCCATCTCTTTTGATATTTATGACATTCAAACATAGTGCAGGTGACAAGGAAGAATTATGGTAGAAAAAAGTATTTTTCCAAGAATTAAAAATTTTTTATTTGTAGGACCAAGGAATGGAGTCATTTTCCTCAAGTGCATTTCAGAAAGTAATGGGAATCAATGATAGGTTTTCAGGAGCTTAACCTGCATGAGTTATGAATAAACTACACACTGGGATGTTTGAAAAAGATGCTGAAGCCCAATGAGTCGTACAGAACAAGAAGCCAGACTAAATGGTTTAATCCTGACAGCCATCGTCCAGGCAGTGGCCATTGAAATGACCATGTCAATTCTCGTTAAATACCAGTTATGAGTAATTTTTCAAGTGACAGCAAAGATGGCCAGGTCTGTAATTCAGTTTTTATACTCTGGGAGGAAATTTTCAACACATAGGTAATATAACACTAAACCCATATGGGTAGGAATGTGCAGCTAGGAATGGCCAAGGGGTAGGGGTATGAAAGAGGGAGGGTATCAAATTCCTTGTATTAGGAGCCCTTCAACACTGAAAGGACAAATCTCAAACCTGTCACCTGAAGCTCACACAAAACAGCATCAGCACATTCTTGAGGAAATGAATAGTACTGCATCATATGAGTTATGACCCCATTGGGGTGATGGTAGTTTTAACATTTATGGAGCATTTTGACTATATAAATCACTCAGTGCCCACAGCAAAAGGATAGAAGTAAAGAACAACAATGAACAAACATTCAACACACATACTATCATTTTTTTTTTTTTTTTTTTTTTTTTTCAACAAGTCGGTCGTCTCCCACCGAGGCAGGGTGACCCAAAAAAGAAAGAAAATCCCCAAAAAGAAAATACTTTCATCATCATTCAACACTTTCACCACACTCACACATTATCACTGCTTTTGCAGAGGTGCTCAGAATATAACAGTTTAGAAGCATATACGTATAGAGATACACAACATATCCCTCCAAACTGCCAATATCATATAAAGTTAAAATAACCAGAGGGGGCATAGAGAATTGGAAATGATCAGAATCAATCCAAGGAATGGGATTATAATAATAATCAAAAGGAAGTGCTAAACCTACCAGGGTCGTACAGCACTGCAATGGGAGGATACGTTCACTTCCTCAGCAGCCTCAAAGCATCTCCCTAGATACCTTTTGATAAGTTGAAACCAAACAGTGCTCAGTTAACTCTTTAATGATACATGCATGATTTCAAACTTTTGCAGTTAAAAGTTTGCCGCTCCAAAATTATTCACGTGCACCGACTTTCCTGAGAACACTACTACAATTTGTGAGCTACCAGTATCTTCAGAATACAATATTGTATCTCCTGAAAGTTCCTGAAGAAAATACTACTTTTAGTGTTGCACTAATATTTTTTTTTGTTGGGGATATGACTATATAGTATTTTTAGTTCTTTTATTTACAAGTGCAACATCCAAGTTGCTCATGTCACAATGTTTAGTAGTTCATTTAGTATCTTTAACAAAATATTATGAGTAATGAATAAAAATTACCACAAACAAAAACTTATTTCATAAGATGAGTAAGCATATTGAATATTAAATACTGTACAATATAAGGATATATTAATCACAATAATATATAGATATATATGAATATATATAAAATTATGAATATAACTAGTCAACTCTAGTATACTTAGAAATACATCCAAGCTATAAATTTGTAAAATCAGTTTATTCATTAAAAAACAAGCAACTACAGTATATACATTAACTTTACGTTAACATATTTCTTACTAATCAAGTCACAAAGTGAGGTGTGGCTATAAGGTACAGTATTGTATATTACTCATCCAGTTTCACTTATGTATTTGGGGAATGTTTGAAACAAAATTTACAAAAAAATAAAAAACTGCAAAAGTAATCTAAATGACTGGGGTATCACTGCATGAATGTAACTATTCCCTCACAGTTTTAGCACACATTTATGGCCACACTATGTACCAGCATATTTATATTAAAAGTTTAAAATATAAATTCCATTGTAAACTTCAACATAGTACAAGTACAATAGGAATGAAATTTAAAGAGCTCCAATGATTACTGTAATTGAAAGTTTGTACACTTGTATACTGTATTTAAAACTTCATAATGAAATTGGATCAAAATAAATGTTCAATGTCAATCAAAAACTTTTTTTGAGGAAGTGATTATGAAAACTCGGTTAAACAGTATACCATTAATATCTATAAAAAATATCCACTTAAACATGATAATCTTCTGGCCTCAGTGCATCAGGGTCCCATGCTCGAATATTTGCCAATGACTTGTTTAACTTGTTACACCATATTATTCTCTCTTCTTTACTGTCCGAAGATAGCAAGTACCTGTCAAGTAAAAAAAAAAAAAAAAAAAAAAAAAAAATAAGTTATTTTATGTGATTTACCAAAAAATTAAAATGGCATTTAATCTGTTGTTTGTATAATATTTTTTTTCAACATGCCAGCTGTCTCCTGCCAAGGCATGGTGAACCAAAAGAGAAACTTGCACCATAATTCACACAATCACTGTCTTTGCAGAGGTGCCCAGAAATAACAGTTTAGATGTCACTCCAAACAGTCAATATCTCTTTAAAGTGCAGGCACTGTACTTCCCACTGCCAGAACTCAAGTTCTGCTAACCAGTTTCCCCTGAATCCCTTCACAAAATATTACCTATGCTCACATTCTAACAACTAGTCAGGTCCCAAAAACCATTCGTCTCCATTCACTCCTATCTAACATGATCACACATGCCTGCTTCATGTCCAGGACCCTTGCACACAAAACCTCTTTTACCCCCTCCCAACATCCTTTCCTAGAATGACCCCTACCCCTCCACTACAGATTTATACACCCTCCAAGTCATTCTGTTTTGCTCCATCCTCTCTAAATGACCAAACCACCTCAATAACCCCTCTTCAGCCCGCTGAATAATACGTTTTGTAACTCCATACCTCCTCCTAATTTCCAAACTACGAATTCTCTGCATAATATTTACACTACACATTACCCTTACACGACATCACCACCTCCAGCCTCGTCCTTGCATTCACAACCCATGCTTCACACCCACATAAGTGTTGGTACTACTATACTCTTGTACAATGGAAGCAAATGGTATGGCGAGCCAACAAGACGTGTACAAAGACTTTTGCTCACTGCAGAAACAATGGGATAGAATTTTTTGAAGTCTCCTACAATAAGCCAAGAGTTATAATGAATCTAGCTGTTAGTGATTGTAAGCACATAATAAAGGCAATCTCAAAATATGCAAATTCAACATTGAAGCAGAAGATTTTTGTACTTTTATAATTATGCATGATACTGCTTTTGTACTTACAATTTTACTTTACAATTGCAACTTAATAGGGAAGGAGTGATGTAAAATATACAGGGCAATCATGCAAATAAAAAAATGTGATAATTAAAGAAATTGAAAAACTGTGAAGTTTCACTAGGCATATTTTCAATAAAACTGACTTCTGTGAATAGTCAAATAACTTCATTCATAATGCAAAATCATGAATATATAAATGTTACTAACCAAAAAAATGCAGCACTTACTTCGTGACTAATGTTGATCCATGAACTTCCTGTACAAGATTTGAAATGTCCTTAGCACGTGCTGGCTGAACACACGTTAACTGGAAGGTGTGCTGTCGTGCACACACATCTCTGGCAACAAGTTCAATACGCCGAGTAGTACAGGTGCGCAAGTCAATCTGTCCACATGCCTCCTATAAAAAAAATTTTTTTTTTTAAATCTGTTACAAATACAATTGCTTAACCAGTAATGTTTAGATATTTTTGAGATTGAAGACACTACATATAATCAAGAAAACTTTTTTCCTGACAACACAAACATTAAAGAAATATTTATTCTTATCAATAACTACTTTATCTATACAGCTCAGTAAGATGAGGAAGTCCGGAGAGCAGAGCAGATATTAGGTGGAGAGGTGAAGGTAACAAAGATGGAAGAGGATATTTCGAAGAGTTGCTGAATATTAGTGATGAAGTGAAGGTGATGTTTTCATGCATGGGACAGGGAGGAGTAACATTGCATATATGTAAGGAGGAATCTGAGGTAGATGTGGGACAAGTGTGTGAGGTAGATTGAAAGAGGATAAAGTGGCTGGGACAGAAGGGATGTCACCATGGTTGTTCAATATATTTATAGATGGGATTGTAAGAGAAGTGAATGCTCGGGTGTTGGCAAGAGGTGTGGGGTTAAAGATAAAGAATCTAACACAAAGTGGGAGTTGTCACAGTTGCTTTTTGATGACGACACTGCCTTTGGGAGATTCTGAAGAGAAGTTGCAGGGGTTGGTGGATGAGTTTGGTAGGATGTGTAAAAAGAAAATTAAAAGTGAATACAGGAAAGAGTAAGGTTATGAAGATAAAAATATTAGGTGACGAAAGATTGGATGGAGAGAGTATGGAGGAGGTGAACGTATTCACATATTAGGGAGTGGACGTGTCAGCAGATGGGTCTGTAAAAGATGAGGTTAATCATAGAACTGACGAGGGGAAAGAGGCGAGTGGGACACTGAAGTGTCTGTGGAGACAAAACTTCATCCATGGAAGTAAAGAGGGGAATGTATGAGAGTATAGTTATACCAATGCTCTTATACGAGTGTGTGAAACTTGGGTGGTGAATGTTGCAACAAGTAGAAGGCTGGTGGCAATGGAGATGTCATGTCTGAGGGCAATGTGTGGTGTGAATATAATACAGAAAATCTGTAGTTTGGGGATTAGGAAGAGGTGTGGGATTACCAAAACTATTATCCAGAGGGCTGAGGAGGGGTTATTAAGGTGTTTCAGATATGTAGAGAGGATGCAATGAAATAGAATGACTTCAAGAGTGTATAAATCTGTAGTGGAGGGAAGGTGGGGTAGGGGTTGGCCTAGGAAATGTTGGAAGGAGGGGGTAAAGGAGCAAGTGCATAGGTCTCTTGTTCAAGGAAAACATGGATAAGAGAATGAAATAATTATAGAAGGATAAGCCTGTCAAGTGTACCAGGTAAAGTTTATGGTAGAATTAATAAGTGCTAGGGGTAATACAAGGTAGGACTACCAAGGAGTAGAGAGGATTGAGGAAGGATAGAGGATGTGTAAACCAAATGTTTACACTGAAACATACAAGTGAGCAGTACTTAGTTGAGAGTAAACAGTGATTTGTTATATAGATTTAGAAAAGGCATCTGATAGGGAGGATACGAGGCCTTGTGGTAAATGTTGCAAATGACTGGAACAGGAAGCAAATACAGGACTTCTATTAAAATACAGCACAAATTATCAGACCTATACATTATAATCAAATCCAAGCAACAATTTAAATAAAATTTTACCTTCTTGCCCTCATCATCTGGGTACCGCCAATAACGAAGATGCATTCCATTAAGAACACACCATAGCCTGTTCCAGGCACCATATCCTCCAACATCCTCAAACATGGTAAGGAAGCCACGCTCTACAATCCCACCCTCAAAACTGCAACTCACACGCATCAGTAGATGACCATCAAGGGGAGAGGAGAAAGGCACCTGGAAACAAAATATATCAAGATTTTGCAAGTAAACAACAATTTATGGCCTAGCCTCTCAAAATTTGTTACCCACTGCCAATTCTCAAAATTGTTCTGGTGAGTCATGATGCTAAAGTTTGCAAGCAGAAAGCATATACAACTTCCACAATTTAGCTAATGTAGCATCACTTGATGGGTAAGAAGGCAAACTCCAGATCTTGGTCTCACCTCTTAACTTTTGATCAACTGACATGATTGTTCTTGCTTGTATAAAATTTTGTACCAAAATAAACCATAACTTGAAAATTAAACAATGCTTTGATCCATCTTACAGTATTACCGAGTGATGGTCCATGACAAACTGAATCAAAGTCGTTTCCAGTTTTGGGGTTAATTGTGAACCGTTCTAACCTGAAGCACATTTCAACCAATGCCTTAACCCTTTGACCGTTTCAGTCGTATACATACGTCTTACGAGCCAATGTGTTTGACGTATATATACTCAAAAATTCTAGTGGCTTCAAATCAAGCAGGAGAAAGCTGGTAGGCCCACATGTGAGAGAATGGGTCTGTGTGATCAGTATGCACCATATAAAAAATCCTGCAGCACGCAGTGCACGAGAATTTTTTTTTTTTTTAATTAAAACGCCGACTTTGTAGTGTACGGATTTTCGTATAATATTTATGGTTGTATTCTCGTTTTCTTGATCTCATTTGATAGAATGGAAAACATATTATAGAAATAGAGGTGATTTTGATTGATTTTACTATGAAAAGGACCTTGAAATGGAGCTCAAAATAAGGGAAATGTTTGATTTTTGCTGATGTTCAAGAGTAAACAAATGATGTCATTGTCCAATAAATGTCCAACTAGCCATTCTAATATGCAGTCATGAATGGAGTGACATTATTTATACAATTACAATATTCCAGTAGTCTGCATAACAGCAAATCTTCTATTTTTTGTTTGAATAAAAATTCAAAATAGAAAGCAAGAGTAATATCAGAGGGGCCTGGAGACATGACTGATGAACAAAGAAAATATTTTAGAGTCAGGAATGTCTGTATTGTTCATTCTGGACCCTATTTTGAAATTGGCATATTTTTTAATTTGCGTGAAATTGGCCAAATTGCCAATTTCTGACCACTTTATTGGGTGGTTGAAATCGGTAAATGGGCAGTTTCTTATACTCAATCGATAGAACAAATGGAGTTCTAAAGAAATAGCTATGAGTTTGGTCAACTGGAACAATGGAATTAGCCGAAAATAGGGCTCAAGGTGGTCGAAATCGCCGATTCGTAAATATCAACACGGTCACAAACTTGTTGAGAGCATAATTCCACAAGTTATCCATCAAATTTCGTTCTTTTGGTGTCATTACCATCGGGAAAAGATTCTCTATCGTTTCATAAGAGAAAATTTTTTTTTTTTTTCCAAAAAAATTTTCAACACCAGGAGACACCTCATGATCTGGGGTTGCAACAGTCAAAAGGTTAAACTTCATAATTATCCTGCAGCATAAAACAATCTAAGATTCTGAACAGAAATGGTGAAATAATAAATGGAAAATTACAAAATAGCGCTATTTACTTTTTCAAGTGTCCATGCATTTCGTGTGAGAGTAGAAATGTTGAGGTGAGTGAACCCAACTAATTGAAAAGCTGATGTTCGGACTGCATAAGGTCCACCTGGGGACTGAACAGATGGAGAGCACACTCTGGAATCATGCTTCTGCATCCTCTTGAGTGGTGTCAGCTTCATACGAGACGGCTCCTGATAAAAAAAAAATACAAAATTGTATATTTAAATTTCTAATTAGGCATTTAATGTACTTAAGAGTACACATGAAGTTTTGAAAGTCTTAGCGAGTGCTGTACTTTTAACTAATGTTATGAGAGACAAGTAGGGTAACCACACTACATTTGCACGGTGCAAGAATTCAAAGGTT